ATAACCGATATTTCCTTCGAAAATCCGGTTAAAAATCATCATCAAAGGGTAATTACCCGTTTTGAAAATTGTATATTTTATAACAATTTCTTATTTGATTTTTCTTATGTGTGTGTTTGTTTGATTATTTTGTAATTGTTTGTTTGTTATATTTCAATGCATTTCATGAGGGCCTCAGGGAAGATTAGTGTTATAGCTAACTGTGTAACCCTCTTTAAATAAAGAATTATTATTATTATTATTATTACCTGGTACTCCAATAAGGAGTCTATTGACAATTTTGGCAATGTTGACTTAATTGTAGATTTTGTCTTGCTGATCATTTTTGCTATATAAAGTTTATTTCTTGTCTATTTTATGATAATAGGCAACACTGAAAAAAAAAGGTAAAATTTGTCATTTAAGGGCAATAAGGCCTACAATAAGTCTTGTGACAGTTTTGATGTAAATAGACAGAAGGTAGATCTCATCATTTCTGAACATTTTTGGTAAGATTTTCTCTATATATAGTGATTTTCAAGATGATATACAAAACTTGCCTTTTACCCCAATATTCAATTTTTAGCCACGTTAGTTGAAAGGTTGGATCATTTAACACTTTTTTGAACTAGATACCCAAATGATGATTGTGGCCAAGAATGGTTAAAATATGTCCAGTAGTTTCAGAGGAGATGATCTTTGTAAAAGTTAAAGGATTATGACAGACATCAAGTAATGGCAATCAGCTCGAACTGGCCCTTTTGGGCAGATGAGCTAAAAATAGAGCATAGGGGTCAAACTATAGTTTTGGCTTAAATCTTTAAAACTAAAACCATTAGAGAAAAACAGACAGGATAAAAATGGTCAGCACAACAGTTCTACTCATTCTGAAAATTTTGTTTTGGAGTTATTGTCCTGGATATCAAGAAAAATAAGGAAAACTAGTTTCCCAGGAGACAATAAACAGCTGCGCCATGAGCACATGATACGCCTGTCGAATTTTCAAAGAATAAAGTTCAATAACTTCTCAATGTCATATCAGAAATTTATAAAAAACTAAAGAGAGGTTATTATAATAGATATAAACCAGTCACCAAAGTTTCATGAAAACTGCTCCAAGCACTTTTGAGTTATTGTCCGAAAACTGGAAAATCACCCCTGTTTTATGAATAAAATCCCATAACTTGGAAACTTTAAAATCTAAAATTTATAAAAATCGAAAGGGAGCTTACGTCAATAGATCTAAACAATTCACCAAAGTTTCAGGAAAACTGCTCAAAGCATTTTTGAGTTATTGTCCAAAAACTGGAAAATCACCCCTTTTTTAATGTATAATAAAATGCTTCGCTGGGGCGCAGCTTGATACGACCGCAGAGGTCGAACCCTGAACAGTTGGGGCAAGTATGGACACAACATTCAAGCTTGATACAGCTCTGAATTTGGATTGTTATTAAATATTTGACACAGCATAGGTTTCTGACACAGAAAGAATGTGGTCTAAAAACTTGAATTTTTTTAATTTACCTATTATGGTCCAATGTCCAAAATCAAAATACATGGTTAGATTCAGCATATCAAAGAACCCCATATTTTCAATTTTTGTTGAAATCAAACAAAGTTTAATTTTGGACCCCAACTTGGACAAACTTGAAAACTGGGCCCATAATCAAAAATCTAAACACATGTTTAGATTCAGCATATCAAAGAACCCCAATAATTCAATTTTTGCTAAAATCAAACTAAGTTTAATTTTGGACCCTTTGGACCTTAATGTAGACCAATTTAAAAAACGGGACTTAAAATTAAAAATCTAAATACACGGTTAGATTTGGAATATCAAAGAACCCCAATAATTCAATTTTTGATGAAATCAAACAAAGTTTAATTTTGGACCCTTTTGACCTCAATATGAACCAATTTGATAGCGGGGCCCACAAATAAAAAATCTAAATTATGGTTAGATTCAGCATATCAAAGAACCCCATATATTCAATTTTTGTTGAAATCAAAAAAAGTTTAATTTTGGACGCCAACTTGGACCAACTTGAAAACTGGGCCCATAATCAAAAATCTAAACACATGTTTAGATTTAGCATATCAAAGAACCCTAAGAATTCAAAATTTGTTAAAATCAAACTAAGTTTAATTTTGGACCCTTTGGACCTCAATGAAGACCAATTTTAAAAAATGGGACCCAAATTAAAAATCTAAAAACACGGTTAGATTTGGCATATCAAAGAACCCCAATAATTCAATTTTTGATGAAATCAAACAAAGTTTAATTTTAGACCCTTTTGACCTCAATATGAACCAATTTGATAGCGGGGCCCACAAATAAAAAATCTAAATACATGGTTAGATTCAGCATATCAAAGAACCTCATATATTCAATTTTTGTTGAAATCAAACAAAGTTTAATTTTGGACCCCAATTTGGACCAACTTGAAAACTGGGCCCATAATCAAAAATCTAAATACATCTTTAGATTCAGCATATCAAAGAACCCCATATATTCAATTTTTGTTGAAATCAAACAAAGTTTAAATACTGGACCCTATCTTGGACCAACTTGAAAACTGGGCCCATAATCATAAATCTAAACACATGTTTAGATTTAGCATATCAAAGAACCCCAAGAATTCAATTTTTGTTAAAATCAAACTAAGTTTAATTTTGGACCCTTTGGACCTCAATGAAGACCAATTTTAAAAAATGGGACCCATATTAAAAATCTAAAAACACGGTTAGATTATGCATATCAAAGAACCCCAATAATTCAATTTTTGATGAAATCAAACAAAGTTTAATTTTAGACCCTTTTGACCTCAATATGAACCAATTTGATAACGGGGTCCACAAATAAAAAATCTAAATACATGGTTAGATTCAGCATATCAAAGAACCCCATATATTCAATTTTTGTTGAAATCAAACAAAGTTTAATTTTGGACCCCAATTTGGACCAACTTGAAAACTGGGCCAAAAATCAAAAAAACTTAATACATGTTTAGATTCAGCATATCAAAGAACCTCATATATTCAATTTTTGCTAAAATCAAACAAAGTTTAATTTTGGACCCTTTGGACCTTAATGTAGACCAATTTGAAAACTGGACCCAAAATTAAAAATCTAAATACACTGTTAGATTCGGCATAACAAATAAATAAATGTGATCAAAGATTTTACAAATCTAATGCGCCATACTGTGCAATTAAAGATTACTTCTTGAAATTTTTCAATATTTGAAATTTGAAAAAAAAATAATATTTGAAGAATAATTCTTTTTAATTTCTGAAATCTGAAATGAGAAAAAATTGTTCCCCCACAATTTCTTTTTATCCCCCCCCCCCCCCCTTTTTTCCCCAAAAAAATTCTTTCCCTCAAGATATGGTCATAATCTCAATTCAAATTTCCAATGGAGTTGGCAACCATAATTACCCATTTAAATTTACCATAGTGCTAACTTAATCTATTTTATAATAGAATTAAAAATATGGTGTCAAATCTTTCATATGGATTTTTTTGTAAAAAAAAAAGATGCAACATTTGCAGATATTTTTACTGGTCTTCCTTTATAAATATGTATTTCTTTAAACATAATTTAAAAGCAGTGTAAGGGAAGTAACCAAAACGTTGTATTTGGATTACCTCCCTTACACTGTTTTAAATTATCTTTATTGTTCATTAACCATTACTTTATACATAATTTAAAAGCAGTGTAAGGGAGATAATTTCAATGATGTATTTGATTTATCTCCCTTACACTGCTTTAAATTATGTTTTGTACTAAAGTATTTGTCCATTAACCAGGACAACCTTGTTTTTCCCCCCTTTTTCCCCCTAATTCCTAAACGGTTTGAGCCATAACCCCCCAAAGCAAATCCTAACCATCCCTTTGTGGTATGGAAACTTGTAGTATAATTTCAGAGAGATCCATACACCGTTCCACAGTTATTGTCTGGAAACTAGAAAATGCTTATTTTTGGCCCCTTTTTGGCCCCTAATTCCTTAACTGTTGGTACCATAACCCCCAAAATCAATCCCAACCTTCCTTTTGTGGTATTTAACCTTATGGTCAAATTTCAAAAAGATCCATTCACTTAAACTAAAGTTAGAGTGCGAAAACCAATGTGTCTTCGGACGACGACGCCGGACGACGACGACGCCAACGTCATACCAATATACGTCCACAAAATTTTTTTGCGGTCGTATAAAAACCCATAACTCAGAAACGTAAAATCTAAAATTTATAAAAATCGGAAGGGAGTTCACGTCAATAGATATAAACAATTCACCAAAGTTTTATGCAAATTGGTTTAAGTGTTTTTGGGTTACTGTCCGACATGTTGGCGACGGACAGACAGACAATGGTTCACCATAATACGTTCCGTAAATGCATGTATAATAAACTGCTTCGCCTAGCGCAGCTGGATACGACCGCAGAGGTCCAACCCTTAACAGTAAGGGCAAAAATGGACACAATATTCAAGCTTGATACAGGTCTGAATTTGGGTTGTAATTAAATATTTGACACATTATAGATTTCTGACACAGAATAAATGTAGTCAAAGAACTTGAAATTGGTTATATGATTTGAATTTATATTCAATTGAAGATTTCTTGCTTTTGTGCAATACACTGTGCTGTTGTGCAATACTTGGTAAATCTGTTTTCAGACTATATACAAAGAATTAGCAAAATAAATTGTGACCCCCAATTTTTCTTTGGAAAATTGACAATTTCTTAAATCTTGAGGGAAAAAAAATTGACCCCCCCCCCCAAAAAAAAGTTTCTTTTGCCCTCCCCACTCACTTTTAAAAAAAAAAAACTTTTGAAGAAATTTTCTATTTTTTAATATGTGGTACAATTTTAGAAAAATCGAACACTTAAACACAAGTTATAGCCTGAAAATTGAAAATTAAAAAATGCTTGTTTTAGACCCTTTTTGGCCCCTAATTCCTGGACAGTTTGGGCAACTACCACCAAAATGAATCCCAACCTTCTACTTGTGGTATTGAACCTTGTGGTAAAATTTCAGAGCAATTGTCCTGAAACTAGAAAAATGCTTGTTTTGGGCCCCTAGTTCCTAAACAGTTGGGACCATCACCCCCAAAAACAGTCCCAACCTTCCTTTTGTGGTATTGAACCTTTTGGTTAAATTTCATAGAGATCCATACACTTAAACTAAAGTTATTGTCGGGAAACCAAATGTCTTCGGAAGACAACAACGACGACATGATAGCATTGTACGACCCCAAAATCTTTTGCAGTCGTATAAAAACAGACAATAATTCAAATATCCACCTTTTTAACAAATAACTAACATTGTTCCCAAAAATATTTTTCCACTTGTTTACATTTCCATAAAAGTAAAAATGTGGTCAACTACACACAACAGGAAAAAATAGTACCAAGTGTAAGAGCTTTCTGTCTAATGTTCTCTGACAGAGGAGTTGCAACAACAAGGTGTTTTTGGTAAAAATACTCCAAAAAAATAGTCAAAGTTCCATAACTCTCGTAGAAATGATCAAATCAAAATGATGGTATAATATAGTTAACTACACGATGGCAAACAATACTATAAAAGTATGAGACCTTTCAATAATCATTTTAACCAATACCATCTTCCAAGCAAAAGTAATTCCTTTCCCTTTCCTTCAGCAATTTGATCATCTAGCTGACGCCCGATTTTCTATATAAAAATATCTCTAGTGAAAGATAATTTATTCAAAAGAAGAGTTCGCAAGACATGTGCATGCACATTACATCTGCAATTCAGTCAAGCAGCTTTAAACTAATAAAAGGCCCTGAGAATGGTAGCTTCTGCATATGTTTAGCTTTCCTTTTGAAACCTGGTACTAATAGACCTCAACGGCTTTGAAAAAAACTTTGTGCACTGTAAGTTAAATTCAGGTGTTTAACTCCAATCATATCCTTTAATGTATTGTTGAATGAAGCATATATGACAGACGACAAGACTGCCTTCATGTGAGGGTGCATGTTTCAGCAATGTATCATATTTTCAAATTAATAATAGAAAAAAAATCATGGATTTTTTTAGCATTACACAGGGTCTGGTATTCAGACCCATTCCCAACGGCAAAACCCCTACATTTTTCCCAATTTCGGGAGGAAAAATTCCCAATCGATCTCAAAACTATATTATTATTCATTACAGCGGTGTTTTTTTGTTCAACCACTAGCTATATGCCAAAAATCGTCAACAAGAAATGTGTGAAACCGAGTAAAAACATATGACTGACAAAAACAACTTTGACAAATGGCTCTACCAGAAACGTAGACAAATGCAATAAACGATCAGATTCCAGTAGCAGATAAGGCCAATTACAGGTTTCTGATCAAATGCAAATAATTAAATTTAAAAAAAATTCGCCGCAGGTGACAAAATACAGCTATTAAATATAAACTTTAGAATTGAAAACCAAAAGACATATAAAAAGAGAGAGAGAAGAAACAGGAAATATTCTATACAGGAACTCAAAGATATTTTGAGTCCAATAATCAGGTCATGCATGTCAAAATCCAATAAAATGTTTTTCTTTTCTTTGTCACTAAAACAATTTGATATTGGATGTTATTATATTGTAAACACATAACAACAAATCGAGGAGGCAATTTCTTTTCAATTTTGAAGGGCCAGTAAAAATCTGGAAGGACAAGTGAATTTAGAAAAGTGTTAGCCCACTTAGCCAGTTAAAAAAAATCTTATTTCTATCCCTGAATTTATTATTTTTAACTGTAACTGTCTTTGAAGGTGAAAAGGCGATTAATTCTTATCACATGTGCGCTTTAAGAAGTACAGTATTTTGGTACTAAAATAAATGTGATAGCATTGTTGTAAAGTTTAAAAACAACAAGCATTCTGTGAGTATTGCATGGCAATACATAGTCCCCTACCGGTTTAATATTCATTGTAATGGAACAAAATTCTAACTTGATCTATAACTTGTCACGGTGTAAACTACATAAAAATATCAAGTTAAAATCTTCAAGCATGACGAAAAAAACTGTTGAAAACTGATTATCTAAGTGAATTTTCTATGTCCAAAAACCATAACTCTGCACAAAATCATCAGACCGGAACAAAATTCCAACTTGATCTGTAACTTGTCATGATAAAACTATATACTAATCATCAAATCAATATCTTCAAGAATGACAAACAAACTTCCACTAAATTCTTCAAACAATTTACCAGACAAGGAAAAAAATCCAAAATGTCAGACTCATTTTGTCTTTTAAAATTTTTTTTAAAAATGAGTTATTTCCCTTTGAACAGAAATCTACTAATTAATAAGTATTTCATCAAAAATTTAGTTCTAGGGAAAGGGCTTTAACTGAACAAAGAGAAATGCTAAAATCATGAAAATTGAACTTGACCTGTAACTTGTCATGATAAAACAAATAAAATGCTTCGCTGGGCGCAGCTTGATACGACCGCAGAGGTTGAACCCTGAACAGTTGGGGCAAGTATGGACACAACATTCAAGCTTGATACAGCTCTGAATTTGGATTGTGATTAAATATTTGACATAGCATAGGTTTCTGACACAGAAAGAATGTGGTCTAAGAACTTCAATTTTTTTAATTTACCTATTATGGTCCAATGTCCAAAATAAAAATACATGGTTAGATTCAGCATATCAAAGAACCCCATATATTCAATTTTTGTTGAAATCAAACAAAGTTTAATTTTGGACCCCAACTTGGACAATCTTGAAAACTGGTCCCATAATCAAAAATCTAAACACATGTTTAGATTCAGCATATCAAAGTACCCCAAGAATTCAATTTCTGTTAAAATCAAACTAAGTTTAATTTTGGACCCTTTGGACCTTTATGTAGACCAATTTAAAAAACAGGACCCAAAATTAAAAATCTAAAAACACGGTTAGATTTGGCATATCAAAGAACCCCAATGATTCAATTTTTGATGAAATCAAACAAAGTTTAACTTTGGACCCTTTTGACCTCAATATGAACCAATTTCATAGCGGGCCCACAAATAAAAAATCAAAATACATGGTAGGATTAAGCATATCAAAGAACCCCATATATTCAATTTTTGTTGAAATCAAACAAGGTTTAATTTTGGACCCCAATTTGGACCAACTTGAAAACTGGGCCAAAAATCTAAAATCTAAAAACATGTTTAGATTCAGCATATCAAAGAACCCCATATATTCAATTTTTGTTGAAATCAAACAAAGTTTAATTTTGGACCCCAACTTGGACCAACTTGAAAGCTGGTCCCATAATCAAAAATCTAAACACATGTTTAGATTCAGCATATCAAAAAAACCCTAAAATTCAATTTTTGTTAAAATCAAACTAAGTTTAATTTTGGACCCTTTGGACCTTAATGTAGACCAATTTAAAAAACGGGACCCAAAATTAAAAATCTAAATACACGGTTAGATTTGGCATATCAAAGAACCCCAATAATTCAATTTTTGATGAAATCAAACAAAGTTTAATTTTGGACCCTTTTGACCTCAATATGAACCAATTTGATAGCGGGGTCCACAAATAAAAAATCTAAATACATGGTAAGATTCAGCATATCAAAGAACCCCATATATTCAATTTTTGTTGAAATCAAACAAAGTTTAATTTTGGACCCCAATTTGTACCAACTTGAAAACTGGTCTAAAAATCTAAAATCTAAATACATGTTTAGATTCAGCATATCAAAGAACCCCATATATTCAATTTTTGTTGAAATCAAACAAAGTTTAATTTTGGACCCCAACTTGGACCAACTTGAAAACTGGGCCCATAATCAATAATCTAAACACATGTTTAGATTCAGCATATCAAAGAACCCCAAGAATTCAATTTTTGTTAAAATCAAACTAAGTTTAATTTTGGACCCTTTGGACCTTAATGTAGACCAATTTAAAAAACGGGACCCAAAATAAAAAAATCTAAATACACGGTTAGATTTGGCATATCAAAGAACCCCAATAATTCAATTTTTGATGAAATCAAACAAAGTTTAATTTTGGACCCTTTTGACCTCAATATGAACCAATTCGATAGCGGGGTCCACAAATAAAAAATCTAAATACATGGTTAGATTCAGCATATCAAAGAACCCCATATATTCAATTTTTGTTGAAATCAAACAAAGTTTAATTTTGGACCCCAATTTGGACCAACTTGAAAACTGGGCAAAAAATCAAAAATCTAAATACATGTTTAGATTCAGCATATCAAAGAACCCCATATATTCAATTTTTGTTAAAATCAAACAAAGTTTAATTTCAGACCCTTTGGACCTTAATGTAGACCAATTTGAAAACTGGACCCAAAATTAAAAATCTAAATACACGGTTAGATTCAACATAACAAATAAATAAATGTGGTCAAAGATTTTACAAATCTAATGCGCCATACTGTGCAATTTAAGATTACTTCTTGAAATTTTTCAATATTTGAAATTTGAAAAAAAAATTATATTTGAAGAATAATTCTTTTTAATTTCTGAAATCTGAAATGAGAAAAAATTGACCCCCCACAATTTCTTTTTACCCCCCCCCCCCCCCCTTTTTTCCCCCAAAAAATTCTTTCCCTCAAGACATGGTCATAATCTCAATTCAAATTTCCAATGGAGTTTGCAACCATAATTACCCATTTAAATTTACCATAGTGCTAACTTAATCTATTTTATAATAGAATTTAAAATATAGTGTCAAATCTTTCATATGGATTTTTTTGTAAAAAAAAAAGATGCAACATTTGCAGATATTTTTACTGGTCTTCCTTTATAAATATGCATTTCTTTAAACATAATTTAAAAGCAGTGTAAGGGAAGTAACCAAAACGTTGTATTTGGATTACCTCCCTTACACTGTTTTAAATTATCTTAATTGTTCATTAACCATTACTTTATACATAATTTAAAAGCAGTGTAAGGGAGATAATTTCAATGATGTATTTGATTTATCTCCCTTACACTGCTTTAAATTATGTTTTGTACTAAAGTATTTGTCCATTAACCAGGACAACCTTGTTTTTCCCCCTTTTTTGCCCCTAATTCTTAAATGTTTTGAGCAATAACCCCCCAAAGCAAATCCTAACCATCCCTTTGTGGTATGGAAACTTGTAGTATAATTTCAGAGAGATCCATACACCGTTCCACAGTTATTGTCTGGAAACTAGAAAATGCTTATTTTTGGCCCCTTTTTGGCCCCGAATTCCTTAACTGTTGGTACCATAACCCCCAAAATCAATCCCCACCTTCCTTTTGTTGTATTGAACCTTATGGTAAAATTTCATAGAGATCCATTCACTTAAACTAAAGTTAGAGTGCGAAAAACTAATGCGTCTTCGGACGACGACGCCAGACGACGACGACGACGACGACGCCAACGTCATACCAATATACGACCACAAAAATTTTTTTGCTGTCGTATAAAAACCAAATATCAAATCAATACCTTCAAGCACGAAGAAAAAAAGTCTGGAAAACTGATTTGCCGGACTGACAGATGGACAGACAGACGGACTGAGTGCAAACCTAACGTCCCCTTCAACTTCGTTGGTAATTGTTGTTGCCCTGATTTCATTGAAAATCGTGTAAAAAAAATCCCAAACTGCTCTGGGTCCTTTTTCACAAAATACCCAGAAAACCCCCTGAAATTCTCAATGCCTTTCTCATTTGCTTTCATATAACATTACAGAATCAAAGCTGTCATATTTGCCACTGGACGTTGAGCAACCAACAATCAATCAATCAATCAAAACTGTTATGTGTTTTTTTGTTTCAGTATACAGCTTACTCAATTATCATACTAATTTCTATTGATGGTATGTTGGTTGTTCTACAATATTGTTCACTTTGGAAAATAGACAACCTATGAATGATTCTGTGCAGCTTGAATTTCAACTTTAAGAGGCAATTTTAGAAAAATGTAAAACTTTTATGTAAAAAAAAATATGCAATATAAACTGTGTTCACTAGCTATTTTGACTCAAAAAAGTAAAAGTATAAATTGACAATTTTTTCTGTGAAAAGTGTAGATGATAAGCAAACAAAACAGTTTAAACATTTTAAGAAATAACAAATATACTGTTTCATATCTTTAATTTTTTAGCACTTTGTTTTTTCATCATCCTTTTTCTTTTCTTTGCCTTAATTTTTGCTTCTTTTACACTATCAACAGTTACAAATTCCTTTTCTGCATTTTTTTTCTGTAATTTCTTCCGTTTGTCATTTTTCTTTGTTTTTTTAGGGGTTTCTGTTTTTAATGTCTCTTGATCAGAGTTATCTTCCTTGGATTCAACTTCTTCTGTTACATCTTCTGTAACTGCTTTATTGTCCGTATTGTCTGTAGATGTTTTTGGTAAGTACACAGATATACAAGTCAATCTAAATTTAGAATCATGTTCTGTAAGAAGTGTTGTACTGATGGAATCCTGAAGAAAAAATATTTAAATTGTACAAAATAATTATCCACTTGGGTTTTTTCCTGGATAATAAGTCATATAAAAATTAGCTCGGACACTTAGGCTTTTTCCAAGCAAATTTGGACTTCTTCCAAGCAAAACTAGATGTGTCAGATGACACGAATGGCCCCATTCACAAAAAAAGCTTGAAGCCATTTTTAGGAGTGGAAATTTTCTAAGTCCAAAGCCCCTAATTTCATCAAAAATCAGCTGAGCAAAATCGAACGTAAACTCAATCTGTAACTCATCATAGTAGACTCACATATTAAAAATCAGCTCAATATGTGAAGATGTTTAGAAAAAAAGTCGGTATAACTGTTATTTTCACAAAATATTAAAAGTCCAAAGCCCGTAACTTTGGCAAAAATCAGCAGAGCAAAACCAAACATTAACTGGATCTGTAACTCATCATAGTAGACTCACATAATAAAAATCAGCTTAATATGTGAAGGTGTTTTGAAAAAAAGTCTGTATAACTGTTTGTTGCGGAATGACAGAATGATGGACAAGGGTAAAACTATTTGGCCCCGAAGAAGTGACTGCATCAGAATTTATGTGTGTTTTTTTAATATACAACATCAAATGCTCCAATAAACTGCTTTTTGAAGTTTATATATTTGATTTAATTCCATGTTATTATTAATCAATCTCTATTTTGCATCTTTTCAGTATGTATCTTTACTTTATTTAGTAATTGTCTTATCTTTATTTCAGAATCATTATTATTGTAATTTCCTATTTTAGTTCAATGTATATCTGCATATGGTATATTTATCAAAAGTATTGATGCATTTTATTATAATATTTCTGATAATATGGAATTATCCATCTTGATTAGTGGGCCTGGGTATCAAACACAAATTTGAAAACAGCCAATCTTTTAATCACACATATCGGATTTTAATAAGTTCTAAAATAGCCAAAAATGTTGTAAAGCCTCATGTTCCTATCATAGCAATGTTGTAAACTTAGCAAGTCATCTTGAATAATTTTGAATTCTTAACATACTACTTAATTAACTATATCAAAGTAATTCCACTTGACAATAGGTAACACTCTAGAAATTAGGAAACAGACAGAACATCTGAAAGCACTATTAATGAAACAAACTTACTTCATTCTGTTGTATTTGATATAGTTTGAGATAACCATCACTAGATGCTGTTATTAAACACTGACATAATTCATCATCTGTAAACAATGTTATTCCTCTTATTCTGAAAATACATTGAAATAATTCTTACTTAATGGTATTTTCTGTAATATTAACACAACATACTTTGTAGGTGAAAACAGCTAGGTATTTAGCTTATCTTATGGTTCTGATATTTGCAGAATACATTAATTTTACAATTCAATTTTTTTGTGCTCTTTTTTAATTTGAAATTTATATGACTTTAAGTGTTGAGATTATACCTACTGCTGACAAGACTGAAGACGTCAAATGATATCAATAACAAAATGGAGAAAGTATAGCTAACCTGTTTGTGTCTGTATCTATTTGATGAAGTTGTTGGTTATTTGTTATATCATGGAAATAAACTGTTCCACCTTCACATCCATATACCAAAATGGTGTCCTGAAAACAAGATATAATATATATACTTGTGAAATATAGCATTGTAATAGTTTCTTTGAGTATTGTCTTTGTCAGTACTAAAATTGATTCTTTTTTTTTTTTCATAGTTTAATATATGATTAATATATATCGCTACACAGGTATACCGTAAACTCTTTTATTCCAAAATTCTGTCTATTCTTATATTTTGGCATTGCATAGGGGATGTTATTCTCAGACTGTGTATGACATCTTCAAACTGATAGGTTGGAGGTGTTCATCATTGACATTTTAATCTAAGAAAACATTGTTCATTTATTAGTTGAAATTGGGCTTTGAGTTTCTTTTCAGTAACTGTGTGTACTGAAGATAGATACTTGGTCTCTTTTGTCTGAAGAATGTTTGATGTAAGTTTATGCACCTCATGCAGCTCAATCCTTTTAGGATGCATCTGTAAAGAAGAAAATGTAATAGCATTTTTTCTTTTCTGTTGTACTGTACTTACCGATAAGAATGCTACATCATTAGGTCTTTTCTCTGTTGTCACTGTACAATGTACTGTTGCTGTCTAAATTATAAAATTGTTATGATAAAGGAATGAATCTCAGTAAAATAGTTTGTACTAATAGAAGTCTAATTTGTTTTGCCCACATATAATGATAGTATATATTTGAATGATTTGCTGTTTGTTGTTAAGAGACATATAACAATATTATAAGCATATCTTGGACACAATAACACAAAAGGTCATTTTCAAAGTCAAGGGGCCATTAAAGTGGCCTTATCGTAACTTCCCCTTTGTGAATCTGTATCATATAAACCAGTGTGTAAATTATAATTCAGTTCTATGAATTTATCTTAGATCATAATAATCCTTTTCCATAATATTAGAGACAATTGTGTGTGGGAGCATTCATTTTTTGTGTTTGTATTATCTGCTTCTTGAGAGAGGTTTGTTCAGAAATCCATGAACCCAAGTATCCTATAAACAATTCTGAATCCCTTCATACATACACACCTCTACTTTATAGATATCTATCTTTGTTTGAAATACAACTGCATAATATGTTCCATCTGTAGACCATAATACCAAATCAGCAACTGTAAAATCATTTTCAAGTAAATAAATTAATTTTGTAAACATATTTTCAACATTCAATATATATATATATATATATATATATATATATATATATATATATATGTCATTCAATACCATAATATGAGCAAGATTAACACTTTTATCCAAATTCTTATAGAAAATTCAGTTAGAGTGGGTGACGCATATTTGCTGCAAAATTCGTTCATTTCCACCTACATCCGACCTACGTTCGAATATTTGAAACTTTTTATGTAGGTTTCAGAAAGTTTACTATATGAAAAAAATGTTTGATAAAGGAATTCTCTTCAAATCATTGTTTAAATGTTTTAAAAATGAACGCAAACTCAAGAGGAAATCAAGTTGTTCTTGTACCATGGGGGGCACATTTTCGCCGCAATGTATGATATAACCATCCTCATTATCCTTGTATATTATAAAAACAATTGTTTGCAATTACATGAATTAGCTTGAGAGATCATTCCTTTACGATTTTTCTAACAAATATTTACTTTATGACTGCTCATGAGTGCCATATAAATCTTACATAATTGCCAAAATCGTTCAAAAACACCTGCATATTTCTTTATATGTGCGAATAACATTGGAAATGGGGTAAAGAGGAATATCAACAGTTCGAACATTACAAACAGTGTTTAGCATCTATTTAGGCATGTATTGGGTAAAGGCACACGAAATTTACAGAAAAAATTGCAAAACGGCGAAAATGTGTCCACGGCGAATATGCGCCACCCAATCTATGTCAATCCAAATATTAATAATAGTATTCCTTCATGTATCAACTTTATAGGTTCTACTATTATTCATTTCTAATTTTAGTGTTCATATGAGATCACATTCACATATAACAGTGGTGAACCTTCTATTCAATCAGCTTCCTCCTGAACATGCATGAAATATTTGCCACTGGATGTTAAGCAAACATCAATCAATCAATCTTTTCAATCTGTCCTACATAACTATACAAATTTATATATATCAATAGGCTGCCAATTTTTAATTAGTATTACTTATACATGTATTATAGACTGGAAATAAATGTGGCAAATAAAATCTCTCTTTCAAGCAGAGGGTAATCTATAGTAACAGTAGCATAGTAAAATAGTTCTATAAACTGTTCTGTACATTGAATCCCATCTGCACATATGTGACTTGTAAATACATTTCCAAACTCCCAATTTTCTGTGTATGTTGGTTTAAATTGAAAATTAGTAGCTAACCAGTGAGGATACTTCATGTTTTCTTTGTCTATATATAATACCTGATTTGAGATTAGTTGTGTAAGCACATTTGCCAGTAATGAGGTTCCATGTCTTCAATGTCTTGTCTTTGGATACAGTTAAGGCCAATTTACCACTAGGATGCACAGATATGCTATTAACTCCTGATCTGAAATAATAAATGATAAATGTATAAAGTTCCAAGATAATTTAGTATGTCAAAGTTCACTGACAAAAACAAGATACTAAGTATTCTTACTGATGGAACATTTGAATAATGACTCACATTTCTGACATTTTACTGTAACTTTCAATAAGTGTTGAACTAAATGAAGTTATGGGACATTTCTCCAATTTAAGAAGAAGCAGAATACAGTACTTCCAACTTTTAGATGACATTACACCAGCATTGGATGCTGGCAATACCTCATGTGAAAAGAATTTGATCTATGTGCATATAATCAAATAAATAGCATATCACCAACAAGCATTAGGTAGATCAATAAGGAGTCTATAAATAAATTTACATCTAACCCACATAAGGCTTAGTACCAGATATTAAGAACCAGTGATTTTTTATTCTCCAAGAATTTGTGACAGAATAGTACGAAGGATGCAAAGACAATGCCCTTGAGTTTGAAAATTGTTGCCAAAATGATTTCAATGGGAAACATGATATGTTGAAGGCTTTCTTCAAGCTGAATCCTATCTTATTGGTTTTTATCTTTTTTGAGAAATTCTTTACTTACTTATGTCCTCTCAGTGTTTTGAGACATTCCCAGGTATAGTGTTTCCAGATTACCACAGAACCATCTTCGCTTACAGTAAACATGTGGTTACCTTTATAGAATTCTACTCCAAGAACTGATCCTAGAATAAGTCAGAAATACATAAATGTAAGTGTATTTTGCTTAAAATTAAATTTTCTGATGAATACCATTTTATCTCTTTTCCTTCTCCCATTAAGTAAATATTTAGAATCAACAAATGTATATCCTCTGTTTGGCCTGATATATTACTTAAATCTAAAGTAAAATTCTAAAATCAAATTTTGACAATAATTCAGATGTTATCCTCGTATTATGGGTTTTCGTGCTATTAAGAAAGCATTGTGACATCACAATTTCCATTGAAAAAACAAGCATAGTACGATTTCATATGACGTACGAAAACATATGATCTGACCATATAATAGTCACTATAATTCACAAAATTATGTTGCAATATGCCAACAAACCTTCATAAGATTTGCGTTACACAGGAACAAGGCAATCTTTTACAGTTTTCTTGTGTTTTTCTGCTAATGCCGGGAAACAAAATATTTTCAGATCAGATGTCAACTGTTTTATAGCATTATCTTACCAGATATTAAGTTATTTCCCATATGCAAGAAAATAATTTCCAAAATCAACATTGCAATTTCCTCAAAAAAATTTTAAATTATCAAAACTCACCAAAAAATTCAGTAAAAATAGGTTGAAGTCCCAAATGGCCAGGTTGCAATATTTGTGACCAAATTTTGCAGCAAAATGACTAAGTTCCAAAGTCTGGAAAATGAGAAAAAAATCCTCAAACAATTCCATAATAGCAGGTGCACAACTTCAACCTATGTTCCATCTTCCTGTGAAGTATTAGGGATCTTAATTGAAAACTATAGGAGTTGATTACACAAAACTTGTACTCTCTTATAAATTTTGGTGGAAAGTCCGGATTCGTAAAACAATTCTATAAAAGTAAGTGTAAAACTTTAGCATATTTTCAATCTTCTTGTGAAGTTTCAGGGGTCTGGGTTGAAAACTGTAGGAGTTGCACTAAACTTGTACCCTCTTTCATAAATTTTACTGAAAAATTACTAAGTTTCATGAAAAAATTAGAATAAATTCCTAAAACACTTCCATAATAGCAGGCCCACAACTTCAACATTATGTACAGTCATCCTCTGAAGTTTCAGGGATATGGGTTGAAAACTGTTGGAGTTGATTCCACAAAACTTGTACCCGCTATCATAAATTATGCTAAAAAAGGACTAAGTTCCCAAGCCCGGAATAATGAGAAAAAGGTACTCAAACAATTCCATAATAGCAGACGCACAACTTCCACATATGTACATTCTTCATGTAAAGTTTCAAGAATCTGGATTGAAAACTGTAGGAGGAGTTGATTACACAATTAGGTATCCACTTTTCCCCTACCGCCGACATCACCATACTATATATATGTAGGACTCTAAAGTGCGATGGTACTCTTAAGTGTGATGGTCACGCTAAAGTGCAATGGTCTACGTTAAAGTACGATGGTGTGTCACGCTAAAGTGAGATGGTTGTTTGTTTGCTAAAGTACGATGGTGTATCATGCTAAAGTGCGATGGACCAAAAGGGTAAGGTTAGAGGGTTTAAAACGTTATAGTACATGGATGTTAAAAAATCGTCTTTTTGCAAAAGCTAGTATGCTAAGTATAACATATGTGATAGGCTTTATAATTTACCGGTAGGCTTAAGCGATTGTTTCTAAATTTAGAAGACCGACCACGTAATAATTGCATTCATTGTCGGAATATGTAACATTTAATTGTTTAAGGTTTAATTTAAATAAGAGAGAAAGGCGATGTTCTTCAAGCTTTCTCCTTTTTCGTAGCGAGTACATATAAATGATATATTTTCCTACAATGTACAAACTAATGTTTTAGCCAACAACTTATAATTTACGCATGAAAACATGTACCTTTAATTTTACTGGCGTCGTTACTTTTCGATAAAATCGACAATATGTTAATGGGGACCGCAAAGTAAACTTCAAGTTACATAAACAATGATTTAAATGTATCCGTTCACTTCCAATTCCAGTAGAAGCAGGATACAGGATACTTATGCGTATACTATTTTGTATCTATATAGTAAAATGGTCGACTGCAGGATACAAGTCCTTCTTCCAGCACCCGAAAAAAAAACGCATTTGCTTCAGCCGACAAAACACGGATAGGTTTAAATTAATTAAGTCATGGACATTTGGTTTAAAAGTTGTTAATCAAATTTTTTAAATCTATCTTCCGGCATGTTCATTTTTGGTTTGTATAAATGACTGTTAACGTCATAATCCAACTACGTTTCTTAGGTCTATACTTTCGCGGACCATTGGACTTTAGCGTATGGAGGCATCGCACTTTAGCGCAGACCATCGCACTTTAGCGTGACCATTGTACTTTAGCGTCCCCATCGCACTTTAGAGTCCTACATATATAAGCTGGTAAAGGACTTTGTCCAACGAGACCCAAAAATGTTGTTATTTCATGATAACATCTGCTTCACATTCCCAGTACACTTTGTAAACTTAAGACCCTTATTCTGTACTGTTAAACAACTTCATCTCCATGAACTTGAGAAATTATTATAAAAACTCAAAGGAGAAAGAAACCAAAAATTAAAAAATATCGTAAGCATTTCTTTTATATATAAATCGTATAGAATGGTACAAAAAAACTAAAAATTTCAATTTTGAATTTACTGCCATTTTGTGGGATGCAACATTTTGTTGTCAGATCTCTTTTATATTGAATACACAAAAAGTGTACTTTTATACAGATTCTAGATTCCATAGCATCTTAGTTTGAATTAAAAATCTTCATATCTTTTTTTGCGGTATACACTGATGATCATCTGAATTGGTGGACCTTTTTTTTCTATGTAACGAAATCATTCCTTAGTTGTCAACATTCACTGATAATTACAACAATCACATCATAGTTAGGACTTGATTAGTCGATGACTGTGAAGCGGTCTACATATAGAACTATGACTTAATTATTTCATCTGCTTAATATTTTGGTTAAGTTGTTACATGTTACAGGGCTCACGCTACCAGGCGACTAGGGCGAAGACGTCCCTTTCCCGTCTGTCACTTCGCTTTCCCCAACCCTCAAAGCGAAAAAACAAGTCGCCCTGTTGTTTACGATACTTACTTTCAGTCGCTTTCATCATCGGCAATATTCAATTTTTACCAAGTCGATGAAACAGCAATTTTTCATTTAATAGTATAGAAATTCAAGGCATAAACGATTTATTTTCTTAAGAAAAGAGGTTAAAGCATTGATTTTAAAGTTGGTGGCATGTTATTTCATAAAAACAATTTTTTATCACTTCCGGTACTTGTTACTCGAGGGCGTATTCAAATCATTCTAACTTTCAGCAAAATAAGCTGTTACTTCATAGGAACTTGATGAAGTTTGCCTGAAGTAAATTTGTTATCGATGTATTGCATTAAAAACGTCATATTCCTTTCCAAATAGCGTGTCAAACATTGTTTATTTTTGTAAATTTTTCTTCGTCCGCCATTTAAATTATTGGTCATATTATTGTACAACTACGGATCGGAGTCGGGATTTCATCGGAAACAGACCCGCTATGACCAAAATCCGGATTCTTACGATAATGCCTACGGACACATGAATGGCAATGTTGACAGACAAAAATTGATCCAAAAAGGAAAAATTACGCATTCTACACGCATTAACATACTTTTGGTAAGTTCTTCTTGATTAATGTATATATTTCCATGTATATGCATTGTTTCAATTTATAAGTTAAAGTTGCTCAACTCTGGGACTATTACACTAATACAATTATATTATGTCCAAGCTTAACTGTTAAATTTATATATCTTTTTAATGAGAAATACCTAATTTCATGAACATGATAACAGAGTAGTTTTTTAATTGAATTTTAATTGATATAACAACTTTCTTTTCCTTTTTGATATAAAAAAAAATCTTTTTTATTATTGCCAGATATTTAATTGTTTTTTCTGACAAGAGGGCTAATTTGATTGTGCAACTAGATATGATAAAATTTGAACTGTTACTTTAATTGTATACCCAGGTACAAATTGAACAATATAATAAAAAAATAAGATACATATGGCCCTTTGTATTATAGTAAAAACCAAACATTGTAATGATTGTAGTGCCGCAAGTGAACAAGCACTTCTCTTTCAAATCTCACCACTTCTCCCTCTCAATTTCAAAAAGAGAAGTCACTTCTCCCTATGATTCTGAAGTAGTGTGAGCCCTGATGTTAACCTTTATTTATCTGATATTCACTACATGAAAACTTGATAAAGGTTTATTCAATTGACTTGCTGAAGATGCAAATTTTGTACATACTGATGTTGAATGGAACAGGGATAGTAGTCATGTGATAGTGATGTCATGAACACAAGTATGAGAAATATGGTAGCTTCCTTTGAACCATGAAATTCAAAGAGATTTAATTGATTGTCTAATAAATCCAATTATATTTTTATCTTTTTGAGAATTATCAATTAATAAATTAAATGTAATTAATTAGGACATGTGGAAAGGCAATGTAAACCATATATACCTGAATGATGAACAAGAGAACCCAAATCTGATCTTTTCTTTAAATTAAACAACTTAATGTTCTCGTCTGTGCCTCCTGATGCCAGAATTCCTTTGGTTGATACAGCAATAGATTTTATACATCCTGTATGGGAATTATCAGTAAAACTTAATTCAAACTGCCATTTCTAAAAAGTAAAAATTTATAACTGTAAAAACGCTTAAAAGTTGTACACCATGAAATGAAAACTGATACTATAACTACATATAAATTGGTTAAATATTTTTACTTTTACAAAGAAATCTTTGTGTGGTCATTATTAGATTCTAGTATGGATTTTGACAAGTAATGAAGTTGAAGTTTGGGACAAAAGTTAATTTTTGTAAAATTTGGTGATTATTGTAAAATTTAACTCAATAGAACAAAAGTATAACAACATTTTTGTTCAATTATTTAGCACAGTACTAGTTGCAATGTACTGTGATTAAATTACAGCCATTTGGAAGTATAACATAAATGATATGGTTACAATACAATACAATACCATACAATACAATATTTTTATTTGTCAATTATGACGCCCTAAAGGAGCAGAGCAATTAATACAATAACATGTCTAAAACCACTGTGTTGGTGAACAACTGCTCCCAGTGGATTGTATTGATCCCAAAAATTAAAAAAAATTAAAAATCCTCTTCTTGCCTGTAAGAAAAAATGATTTACAGTTGACCTACTTATAAGGCCTGCTACGAAATTTTCCTGAAACAAAGATAGGCATTTAATACTTAATTTAATACAAATTTTATTACATACAAATTTAAGTGGGATAGTCGACCACTGAATTAAAATACAACAAAACGTTGCGACAGAGTGTCCTTCCTCAAAATTGTGAGATGGGTTCCTTGTGTAATTTAAAGATATAAAAGAACAGAGTTCTAATCCCCCCCCCCCAAGGGGCATAAATCTTTTAAAAATAATTAATTGGCACTGATTTTTTAATTTGTTCGAAATATTGTTAATATAAACCTATGATATAAGTTTCATAAAAATCTGGCAAGTACACATGAGAGTGCTAACGATGAAATATTCAATATAAGTAATGTTTCAAAGGGACATAACTCTTTTAAAAAATAGTTGATCAGCACTGATTTCCGAAGTTGATATAAACCTATGATATGTTTCATAAAAATCTGGCAAGAATTGTACACGAGAGCGCTCACAATGCAATTTTTCAAATAATTGATATTTCCAAGGGGTATAACTCTTTTAAAAATAATTGATCGGCACAGATTTTTGAACTTGTCCGAGACATTGTTGATATAAACCTATGATATAAGTTTCATAAAAATCTGGCAAGAACTGTACACATGAGAGCTCTGACAATGCAATTTTCCATATAATTAATGTTTCCAAAGGGCATTACTCTTTTAAAAATAATTGATCGGTACTGATTTTCGAACTCGTACAAGACATTGCTAATGTACATGTAAAGCTACAATAGAAGTTTCATAAAAATCTAGCAAGAATTGTACAAATGAGAGTGCTAACGATGCAATTTTCCATAAAATTAAATAATGTTCCCAAGGGGAAACTCTTTTAAAAATAGTTCATCAGCACTATGAATCAGCTTATGAATTCGTCAGAGACATTGCCGATATAAATCTTAGTCAAAATAATTATGACGTCTTGAAAAACTATTTTATTATTTTGCTGTGACGCCTTCCTACAACAGGAAGGTGTCAAAGCAAAAATATAAAATAGTCTTTCAAGACATCATAATATAAATCTATGATAAAGTTTTATAAAAATCTGGCAAGAATTGTACATGTCATAGCGCTAACAAGACTGGACGGACGCCCAGTATTTCTATGTCCCCCACAACGCATTGTGCGGGGGACAATAAGTTAAAAAAAATTAAGGTTCATCATAACAAATGGACAAAAATTGCTGTATTTACACCTCAAAAACTACTTGAGTACAGACTAACTTGTCCAGTCTGAAAAGTTTTTAGGTCTAGCATCCACTAGATATATAAAAGTTGTGTTTAGGCCTAGCATCCACTAGATATATAAAAGTTAAATGCATTTTGTGTTTCAGAAAGATAAAATCTTTTTTGGATTTTGATGGGCATTTTTTTCTGTTCCTGCAGAAGGTGTAAAAATAAACTAAGTTGGGTTAAATGTTTGAGATGCTCCCTCTCAGGTAACAACTGTATTGCATTGTATTGATTGTCCTTGATTGACATGGACAATGGTACAACTGATATCTACACAACAATTGAATAGGTGAGATAAAGGGTGTAACTGAGTGGACAGTATCAAATGTAATTCAGGTGTGTGTTTATTTTTACACCAACAGCAGGAACGAAAAAAAATTGCCCATAAAAATCCAAAAAAGATTTTATCTTTCTGAAACACAAAATGCACTTAAATTTTATATCATATATGTCTAGTGGATGCCAGGCCTTAAAACTTTTCCAACTGCACAGGTTAGTCTGTACTCAGAATAGTTTTTGAGGTGTAAATACAGCCATTTTTGTCCATTTGTAATGACGAACCTAAAGAGACAAAAATATGCCTGTGGGCCGTGTGGCTGTGGTGTGGACTGGACCAGGTGTAGGCCACAGTACTCAGAACTTACAGTCTACAGAAGGGTATTATTTTCTGAAACAAGTGCCTGTTGTAAACCGACAATGCTGTCTGTCTTGATTTCATTTGAAAGGTTTATATTATCTCGAAAATGTGTACCTCTCCTAATCTGACAAGTCTATAACCAAGCAAAACTTCTTCATACGTTCCAACAACAACTTCCATTTCAAAACACGTGTGGTCCTTGCTGAAAACGTCACTAGTTTTTGGTTAAATCAGTTTAATCCGCATTTGACTTTCGGGTTAGTTTTATGACTTCCGGTTACAATGTAAACAACGTGATTTGTTTCTTGCATAGAAATTCGTAATTGTATTTCATGGCAGTTATTTGTACCACTCCAACATTATGGATGGGAGATGTAAGATAATTTAGGCACATAAAATCTTAATATACAATTTTCCCAGTACAATGCCTTGTAACTTAGCCTCGTTGTCGTAGGGTACAGGCAGTAACTCATCTCAGTTTTTGATGTTAAAAAATAATCAGTATACACCTTATCGCTATTTAGTCCAATCCGAAAAAAACAGTCATCTAGACAACTTCCTGTTTGGGTGAACAGGCCTTGAACAGGTAAACAACAAAGGTCATCAGTAACGAGCTGAGGGAGGGTAAATTTAGAAAGCGATCAATACGAAACTTTGATAGATTATGATCCACTTTTTCGAAACTCAAATTATAGTCAAAAATTATTTTGTTTGAAGTATTTACGATGTTTTAAACAGATCTCATTAAAAAGTATCATGCATGGTGCATTGTTTAAACAGGGCCCCAGATAGCTTCAACTGGATGAAAAAGTTGTGTAATTTTAGAACTTATCCGGAATGGAATAAATAGTGATTAGGTGTATTAATGTTCTGTATCTGTATGTATACATAAAAGATACCAATTCTGGCTTTTATTCAATGGGAGCAGAGTTCTCGAAAAGTGGTGGTCCGAAGGTTTTGACCACAAAAAATTGCAAAAGACCGACACAATTTTGTAATTGTGCAATAGAAATAATAGTGAGGACCAGAAGATTTTCTTCAAGGACCAACAGTGAAAAAAAGATTTCAAGAACTCAGTGGGAGGGAGAGACACCTATTGACGGTGTTAGATAGCTGCCTTGAAGCTCTCAACTGTATTAGCGCATACAATAGACGTATTTACACTTGTATGCAAATTTGTCCGCCATTATATAAAATGATAATCACAAAAGTTCCTGTAAAATCTAACATCACAATTTAAAAAAATTGACGTCACAATTAAAAGGTGATTGTTGCTTGACGTCAGAAGGTTATTCGAAGCAGATCTAAGGTAATTCGTAGACAAAATTAAGCTAAATACCAAAAGTGTGAATACGTTTATACTATCTGCCAGTTGGTTCCAATGTATTATGCTCTTGACAAAGAAAGAGTTCTTATATGGATCCGTATTATATGAAATAGTGTATAGTGCCTTCGTACTGTTCTTCACTGAATTTGGCACTATATTGGCACTTTCAAAGTCATCAAATTTTTTCGGTTTAATTTTTCTGTTAAGTTTAATTTACTTTTAACCAGAAAATTGTTAGGATTAATAGCTGGGACCAAACCCTCAACCACTTTTTGTAGTTCCTGTTGCAATCTATACCCTATAATTGGTTTTATGACTCTGAATATGCTCTTCTTTATGGAAAGACTGACGATCACTTTCATGATTTTATAATGTACAAATGTATAATACTCTGAATGATCAAATTGCATATGTCTTTTTCTCTTGTTTTTTAATGCCATCCAATGGATATTTTTATCTTTTTATAGGTAAAACAATTAACAAAGGGATTTGATTCTTTCAGCAAAATTGCCTTTAAGTTTTTTTTTTAAGTTTGGCTTACTGAACACAATGATCTATACTGTAGTGTAAACTGATGTGTAAAACTTATAACTACAAAAATCTGTATTTTCATTGCACATCAACAGAAGTAAACATCTGTAAAATATTTTGTTATTTTACAGCTGGAATCAGACTGGGGTGAAGAATTTATAACAAATGGTTTCCAGAATATGGGTATAACAATAAGATCTCTTAAAATCATCAAAAACAAAGTAACAGGGTAGGTTTACAAATGTAGTTACAAATTATGTGCAAAATTAATCATTTACAGAAACTAAAAACCAACTTTTAAAGTATTAGTTTTATAAGAAGTAAATGCACTTCAGGCACATGTCACAATATGTTATTAAAACAATATAAGCTTTATCAAACATGTTGAATATATTAAATGCAGTGCAATTACTTCTTTGAAAATATTTGTGGCTAAAACTTTAAAAAAAGTATAAATATATCAGAAAAGTTGACAATCACCCCAATTAAAACTATGGTTATTGATAGTTTGTAGCCAGCTTTCACCACTTTTATGTGCCATCAATTGATTTTTATTCCCCATTTATGGGCATTATGTTTTTTGGTGTGTGCGTCCGTTTGTTGTCCGTCCGTTCGTCCATCTGTCCGTTTGTCCGGCTTCAGGTTAAAGTTTTTGGTCAAGGTAGTTTTTGATGAAGTTGAAGTCCAATCAACTTGAAACTTAGTACACATGTTCCCTATGATATGATCTTTCTAATTTTATGCCAAATTAGAGTTTTGACCCAATTTCACGGTCCAATGAACATAGAAAATGATAGTGCCAGTGGGGCATCCGTGTACTATGGACACATTCTTGTTCCCACATGCTCCTGCAATATCATTGTTCTACCAACAAATTTCATAAAGTATTCTGGTAGACAAAAATTTGAAATACCATTTTGTTTCTAGAAAATAAAGCATTACTTCTACAACACAATCTGAAAGAAAATCATATGAGATAGCATCAGATTATCACGATGCTAAAAGGCCTGGGGGAGAACACTGAATATCTCTACCCATTATTGACAGATATTCAAGATTTATAATGTGCCACTTTAGTCAATGTAATTAGCCATCAAACTTTGCCCCCCAGTAACAGTCAAGATGAAGAAAACAATAAAAGTGTTTGTTGTCTGTTTTTTTTGTTTTGTTGCAACACCTCTCCATATCTATATTTTTCCTATTCACAGTAATGATTAGCTCTGCTTACATACTGTACCATGCTGTACTTGGTCTTATTGTGGTATGTACTCATTTTTACAAACTGGTTACAGTATTCTTTAGTTCTGAGATAGTCTGGTTTACTGTGTCTTATTTCATTTTAAGCTCAAATGTCACATGGCAACGTTAGAAATCTATGCAGTGTTGTGATCAATACTGCATCGTCTTCATGAAAACATCAATATATGGGCGATATTTCCTTACGGTAGGTTTTCATCAGGGTGAAGGGGTAAAACCATAACAACATGGTCAACTTTTAAAGTGGAAATCTTTTTATATCATTACATTTGCTTAATTCACCTTCGTAAAAAACTAGGCATGTGCATAGAAACATAATACATGATACAACTTTTTAATCTCCACATTGAAACAACTATCCCAGAATTTTCATATTGCAGCTGAATGAGGATTTGGATGGGGTATAGTATTACTTTAAAAAGAATAATGAGCAAAATATAGAGATATATGGGCAAAACAAATAAAGAATAGAAAAAATGGCCTTCAGAAATTAAAACAAAAACATATACTGGTGTTTATCTTGACCATATTAGTTTTTACATGTATCTGTTTTCAAGAAAATGTACCACCACACCCCTGCTCCAAAATAAAAATAGATAAAACATATGTGAAAACAATAACACCACATACAAAGTACATTTACAGTAATTGGTTATTTTTCTTTTACAGTTTGCCAGCTGGGTATTGTTTTGTTGACTTTACAGACAAAGACAAGGCACAAGAAGCTTTATTAAAATTAAATGGAAAGGTGATACCAGGAACATCTCCGGTAGGTTACTAAGCATTTCTGTTTAGCTTTGAAAAAAATGTATAACAACCTTCATTTGGAATTAGAAAGCCTCTGCTTTTTATATACTTTAATTTTTGATAAAAAAAAATTGATTCATATTCTTCAATTGCTTTGTACAAATATAAAACATTTCTAATTTCTCAAAAATAAAACAGACAAATCCATATATAGGATTGAGACGGCACACCGGCCAGTTTTATTTTTTGATATGCAAAATAAAACTTTATAGATAGTCCAAAACAGTCAGACTACCTCAATAAGCGGGGGAAAAAATGAAAACAACACGTTATAAATTTCATGCTTCCGAAGCTCTTTTCTGGTTTATCTTCATCGGGAATGCTCAAAGCCGAATATTTGAGATCTAAGGATATATCAGAACTGAAACAATTGAAGAGCTATATAACCAAAAGGACCTAAAAAAAAAAGCCAAATCCATCTAAGTCAACTTTGCCTGAGGGAGTTGAAACTTTAGTTTCTTTATAATTTCAAAATGTATAAACAGACAATTTTAGAAATGTTTGTTATAAATAATGACAGTACCCAAGTACTGACTACTGAGCTGATGATACCCACTAGGACTAATAGTCCACCAACAGAGGTCTTGACCCAGTGCTGTAAAATAATTTAAAAAAATTATAAAATTTATGCGTTTCATGCGCTTTTCTGGATTTACCTTCATCAGGAACGCTGAACATGCAGATCTACAAAATAGTATATACAAAAATGTGTTAGAAAGTTCTATCATGATTATAAATGCTAAATGTGTTGATGAAATACTTGTTGAACTGGTTTGGTGTGAACTAAGCTCAATAAATGGAAAACATGAGAACAACCTCTTGTAGTCAAGAAGATTAGAATACTTACAAAAATTGGGCAAACAAAATATGTAAGCTATAAGGATTCAAATTGAAATAAATATTAGATAATGCTGGATGTATTGTAATCAATAAATGTAATATGTATTTAATGTTGAAATAGTAAAAGAAAGTGTACATTTGTACAATAAGTCTGTGAGATTAAAGCACAATATATATTTACAGGTCAGAAGATTTAAACTAAACAGTGCAGGATATGGTAAAGACAGTACACCATTGTAAGATATTTTATAACTTCTTATATTATTAAAGTATGGTATTTTTTCCATCACTCTAGATATTGACTACATGAAAAAAATTTAAAAAAAAGTTTATATATAAAAAACAATCCACAAAAGAGTATACAGGTACATGCAAAATATTAGCTTATCAGTTGTAAAGCCAAATACATTATGATTTTATATTTATAGAAAATACCCTACAGCTTAATAAAAATAAAGTGTTTTCTTGATCTGGTGCAATGATTATAATTTATTTTTTTCGTAGTCAAAATGGATGTATAATATAAACAGTTAATATAAATATCATTGAAGAAACTTACATGAAGAGTAATATAATACTATGAAATGATATTACTTTTACTATTATCATACTTTTTAGACCTGAGTTTTCCTTATTTGTTGGAGAATTATCAGATGATGTTGACGACTATGTGTTATATCAGGCATTTGCTAAGAGATATAGGTCATGTAGATCTGTTAAAAGTAAGTATGTTGACGATGGTGTGTAATATCAGGCATTTGCTAAGAGATATTGGTCATGTAGATCTGTTAAAAGTAAGTTTGTTGACGATGCCATCATGATGTTTTATATCAGGCATTTGCTAAGAGATATAAAGGCTCCAGTAGGGTACCCCCCTTAAGTCAAAAGGTCATGATTAGAAATTGCCTCAGGTCACTTAAAAGCAAATTGGCAAGTTTTTGTCTGACAATAAAGCTGTTTTAAAGATGACCAATCCTTTTAAATGAAACTTCAGGTCACAATATTGCTCCCAAAACTTCCCAAGGTCACAATATTGCTCCCAAAACTTCCCAAGGTCACAGGTTGGATTTGACTATTTTGGAGCCACATATAGGTCCTTGTACATCTGTTAAAAGTAAGTTTGTTGATACTTGTTACCCTAATTATCAGATGAGGTTGACGACTAAGTGTTATACCAGGCATATGCTAAGAGATATAGGCCATGTAGATCTGCTAAAAGTTATCTGAGGAAATAATAGCAATTTCCCTTTTCTGTCCATCCATTTGTAGTATATATAGATACTTTGTATAGGAAAAACATTAATTCTTTTACATTTTGTGCCTTATCTTAGAAATTGGTATTTTCATGCTTTTGTATCACAATAGTTTAAATGTATTAAATTTAAAGTAAGCTTCCCTATTCAATTTTGACATTTGTAAAATTTATACATGTAGTACATTTTTTGTATTAACATATTTTGTGTTGTTAAATATACAAATAAATATACAAACTTTATAAATTATTTTCATCTTCACTGTCCTGTACTTTTAATATGACTAAATCATAAAAGACACACACTGATGCTATTGGAAATTGAAAAAAAAAATAAGAAATAAATTCCAAGGCACATTAATTTTGTTGTAGTTGTGACTGACAGTTCAGGACGAAGCAAAGGCTATGGCTTTGTCAGATTTACAGAGGAGAATGATCAACAGAGAGCTCTTATTGAAATGCAACACTTTCCTGGAATTAGTCGTAGACCAATCAGAGTTAGTCTAGCTACCCCTAAAAGGTAATGTTTACAAAGCCAATCAGTTCTATATATATATATTGCCATGCAATAGTATACAATGCTTAACATAGTTTTTCTCTTTTTCAATTTTGTCATTCAATAGTTATAGTACATAAACAATTAATGAAAAAAATATGCACCCTATGAGTGACATGCTGGGGCCGTTTTAAATCTTACTCTACAGTGTGGGTTTTGCTTATTGTTGAAGGCCGTACAGCGTCCTATAGTTGTTTACATCCTTTTCATTTGGTTTTTGGTGGAAAGCTAATCTTACCACATCTCCTTTTGTTCATATTACGATGTTGTACAGTTATCCAACTTTTCATTGTTAAGATGTCACATTGCCATTGGGCACCATTATTTTGGATGACTATGACATCCTCAAGGGAAAATGCAAGAATCTGGATGACAAAATTAAGAATGTCTAATTTAAAAATTCCCATTGAAACTGGGCGTTGGCATAATATTCCGGAGGAGGACCGCAAATGTCACACATGTGTAAAGAAAATGTAGGAGACGAATTTCACTATCTTTTTATATGTAAGTCTCCTCAACTGGTTATTTTTAGAGAAAAACATATTCCTATTTATTATACGAAGCATCCAAGCAAGCAGAAATTATCTGTTATGTTATCTTACTGCAATGTTAATTTATATAGACAGGTGTCATAAATCATGTTTATTATTGTATATTTACCTGATGTTACACATATATGTGTCTGAGCCTTGCTTTACAATAAAATCTTGAAAATCTTGAATCTAACTTAATTATTCATTGGCTCATTTCTTTCAAGCTTTCACAGATGATTCAGAAGCAACATTTAAGTATCCCTCTTTCTTCTAGTGATCTCCGGCTTCCTCCACCAATAAAAACGGACCACCACGAAATAGCACAATAGTGCTGAAAGTGGCATTAAATACCAATCAATCAATCATTCAATCTTCTATTGATTTTTACTGGATTCAGTCCAGAATTAAGGACTTATTGGTATTTGGTATAAAAATAGAAACTTACCTCAACATTTAAATGGGCTGTTTAATTAAATTTTTGCGGTTGCTGTTGTCAGCTGTGTCACATTTTATCACATATTTTTATCCAGTATCAAACAATGCCTGTAGTATATTTTGACTGATTCTCATGTATCCTTGAGACAATATTAAGATAAATGCAAGCAAAAAAACAATTTCAATATTTTTAAGAACTATTCAAATATCCCAGCTTGTTTTGTCTGTCTCTCACAATGTTTGCACAATCTATTAAATGTAAAAGTATTCCCTATCAAATTTGCTGATATTTACTCATTTCATTTCAGAGTTATGGGATGTCACTTTATTAATGAAACATATTTATTCAAATGATTGCTTGGGAATAGATTGTTACATGAATATATAGGGCATTTGTAAATTCAAGAGAGGAAAATATAATGACCTTAGGATACTAAGCTTATTTTCCCATTTAGTCAAACAATTGTGCATTTTTTTACTGGCTAATAAGTTCCTATATAAATTCTATAAATATACACAGTATTTTATACAAAATTGTATTTGTATTTTTTTCAGACCGCTGCCACCTGATGTATCTGGAGATGTACATTACAGTCATTATTATGGTCATAATTACCCTTACAGTGCCTCATATTACCAGTATTATGGATCCCATACTGCTCCTCATTCATCACATGATCATGTAATTTATATTATTTAGTTGTAAAATCATTCACTAATCGAATTTTGTTTTATTTTTTTTTAATTTATTATCATTCCCTACTTTTTTTCTTGCCAAAAAATAAAATAAAGAAGAAATGTGATTGAGACAGTATCAACAACAGTATTAACTTCCACAAAAGAAAGATCCAAAATTTGAAAATAGTTTACATACCAAAAGAAATTTCTTTAATACTTGACAAGCAAAACAGAAAATAAAAGAGTCTTTTGGTTTTATTAAGGTGGTCAGATATATTTCGTTTAGTCTTTTAACAGTCTCTATTTGTGACCTTTTATAGTGAATAAATAAACATGTTAATCACTACAAACACTATTGATACCACTATACTGAAGATTCGTATTACAATGACTTCTCAGAAAACATTGTTTGTAGCAATTTATTTTTTCACATTTATTATATATTTTGCAGAAAGCTATAATGTATTCAGAGAGTATACTAATGTTATTAAAACCCCCATCATTTCCTGTGATAGACAATATATATGTGTAATGAAGAGAGAGATCTAAGTGTTGACTATTTTGTAGGCACATCATGAATCTACTACTGCAGAAGATGAAATGGATACACTAGAAGGTGTGTACTTGTACAAATCATATAAACAAATTATTTGATGCTCTCCTCAATGAAAGAATATAAAACATTGAATGAATAGAACATCAAATTCGTTTGTGTTTGTATTGGATCCTTCTTCAAACCTTTGCAAATGAAGTTAGGATGGGGTTGGGGTAACTAAGAATAAACATGTCTATCTTTTTATCTATTTTTCCATCACATAAATACAATTTAGGGAGTTATGGGTTGAAAATTTCATATTCATTTCAAGTTCAGAGGTTCTCAGCATATTAGTGGGGGAATGCCCCCCCCCTACCCAATCCAATGATCCAATGATGAGCTATGAAAGAGGAGTCCTTGCCCATAATTTGTTCTTCATTGGGTTCCAAGGGCTGCAAATGACTATAAGTGATGTAAAATGTATTCTTCATTTTTTCTATGTTTTAATGTATAATGCACTCAGGTGTACCAATATACCTGTAGGTTTGGGTATGGAAAACCACTGCTCTTTCAGCTGTCAAAGTTGTATCTTGCTAATAATTTGGGTTATTTTTTCTTTTGTTTGGTTTTCTTTTAATAAAAATATTTTATTGATGTATATAGAAAATGTTTTGAAATGTTTAATAGAATAAATGTTTACTTCAGAACCAGAATTGGAGATAGATGTATTTAGATACAATAAAGACTTTATGGAACAAAGTGAGGTATGTACAAATATTCTTTTTCATTTATAAAACACCCTCACAAATATTCACCACTAAAGCAGCATAGATTTAGTTCAAAAGACAATGAAGAGATAGTTTTTCTATGTAAAGATCTTTAGACTAATAAATTAATTATTATTGTAAAAAAATAGAATCATTAGGCTATACAATTTCTTCTAGGAATAAATTACAATTACAACTTTGGGTACCATTCAGTGTCATTAATTACCAGAACAATTATAAACTGTACTGACCTTTTTCTAGTATTTATAGAAAAGTCTTTTAAAATAATACATCACGTCTGTCATTGTATCATATTACACAATATTTTTTTCATTGTTACCTAATAAAAAAGAAGACTAATGTCATGTTTATTTGTAATTTTTTCTTTTTTTTTTCTTTCCAGGAAGTGTTTGAAGCCATTGAACTTTCCAGATGGACACCATTAGACAGTATTACATCAAAATTACCTCCCCCTATGTCTATCTAGTCATTATCTCAACTATGTGAACAGTTATTGTGTCATTTTATTCATAATGATAAAACATCTCTACATTGTGTCATAATGTTTATTACATTTCAGTTCAGGAACAAATGTATTAGATCGACAAACAATATTATGTTTGGCTTGAAGGATTCAAATATAATACAGAATGTGTTCATTGTATCATTGTCATATAAATTGTTAACTCACTGCCATTATTTATCATCTGTCATTTTCTACCATAAAGCTATTGAAAAAAAATCTTGTGTGAAATTACTGTGTTTATTTTAACAAACTTGGCTTGGATGATCGGTAGGACATCCTCATTTAATAGTTTTATGTTTATTTTAACAAACTTGGCTAGGATGATCGGTAGGACATCTTCATTTAATAGTTTTATTTTTATTTTAACAAACTTGGCAAGGATGATCGGTAGGACATCCTCATTTAATAGTTTTATGTTTATTTTAACATACTTGGCAAGGATGATCGGTAGGACATCCTCATTTAATAGTTTTATGTTTATTTTAACAAACTTGGCTAGGATGATCGTAGGACATCCTCATTTAATAGTTTTATGTTTATTTTAACAAACTTGGCTAGAATGATCGGTAGGACATCCTCATTTAATAGTTTGAGTAGATATAGACTGTATATTAAGAGATTCTCATTATGCTAAGTAGAAACACTTATAATATTTGATATGGGAGTAGGCCATTGATTGTATGTCCTTAAAGTTTTTGTCTTGTCTTGCCGAAGTTGCAAAGGCGAGACTTAGGCGTGTCTTTTTAGGGAGAGGCAGCGTCAACAATTTGTAAGTATGTGATTAGGTCAGATTAAAGGGAATCACAAATGGTTAGTTCATGATATTTGATATGCAGTTGTATTAGCATTGGCACATCTCATTACCATGGAGATTATTTGGCCCTACCCTCGCAGTCATGGTCTAATGACTTTAAAATTTTAATTTACATGTTAAAGTTAGTGATTAGGTCAGTTTATGAGAAATATTAATTATATAGATTGATTGATTGTTGGTTGCTTAATGTCCAGTGGTAAATATTTCATGCATGTTCAGAACAAGTTCTAATGATCTTATATAAAAAATTGCATTGTAAGGGCTTTCAAGCCTACATTTCTTTCAGATATTAGATATAGACACCACTAAACTGCCAGACTTTAGTACATAAGAATGAATGCACAGGAATTCTGATGATCTTAATGTATATTAAAAAGGAAAAGTCAGAACGAAGGGAAGGTCATAAGATCTTTCTGGTGAACTTATCATTTGTTCTTAATTTCTAAAGATGTGTTTTATCACCTAAGATCGCCCCCTGTTTGTGGTGGGGTTTGTGCTCAGTCTAAAGCTTTCTATAATGTGATTGTACACTCTTGTTTGTCTTTTGGTCATTTCATTTTTTGCCATGGCGAAGTAAAAGTTTTTAATCGACTTATGAGTTTGAATATCCAGTTAGCATGTTCCTTTTCTCTTTTATCACCTCCCAAAATATTTTCAAAATTTTTACATTTAATCAGCATGAGATTTGGATGATTTTTGTCGAGCCTGCGACTTTTGTCGCAGAAAGCTCATCATAGGGATAGTAATCTGGCGGCGGCATTAGCTAACTTCTTAAAAGCTTTGTATTTTAGAAGGTGGAAGACCTGGATGCTTCATACTTAGTATATAGATGCCTTATGTTACGAAGTTTCCGTCTGTCACATGTCCATTGTCCATGACCTCATTTTCATGGTTCAGTGACTACTTGAAAAAAAAGTTAAGATTTTTTATGCCCCCGCCATAACGGTGGGGGCATTAAGTTTTACCCTTCTCCGTCTGTACGTACATACGAACGCCCGTCCGTACATCCCAAAATTGGTTTCCGTTCTCTAACTTGAGTTTGCCTCAACTAAATGCTATGAAACTTATACACAATGCTTATTACCACAAAACACAGATCAAGTTTGAATTTTGGTGGTGTCACTTTAACCGTTCTAGAGTTATGCCCCTTTATAAATGGAAAAATTGCAAAAATTTTAGTTTCCGTTCTCTAACTTAAGAGTGCCTCAACCAAATGTTATGAAACTTATACACAATGCTTATTACCACAAAACACAGATCAAGTTTGAATTTTGGTGGCGTCACTTTAACCGTTCTAGAGTTATGCCCCTTTATAATGGAAAAATTGCAAAATTTTTATTTTCTTCTAAATATCAAGTAATTTTTTAAATTGGAGTTATCTTCCTTTGTCGATGATTACAGTTGAATCAACTACAATCAATGCTTTATACAATGCAATGTTTAATTTTGACTTACACTGATAAAACACAGATCAAGTTGAATTTGGGTAGTGTCACTTTAACCATTATTGAGTTATGCCCCTTTATAAATCGAAAGATTGCTAAATTTTTAGTTTCCATTCTGTAACTTAAGTTTGCCCCAACCAAACATTATGAAACCTATACACAATATTCATTACCACAAAACTAAGATCAAGTACAAATTTTTTGTTTCCGTTTTCTAACTTTAGTTTGCCTCAACCAAATGTTATGAAACTTATACACATTGCTTATTACTACATAATACAGATTAAGTACGAAATTTGGTGGCGACACTTTTACCATTCTTCAGTAATGTCCCTTTATAAACATAAAAATTGCTGAATTTTTCGTTTCCGTTCTCTAACTTTAGTTTGTCTCAGCCAAATGTTATAAAACTTATACATAACCGTTCTAGAGTTATGCTTGTTTACAAGTAGAAAAATTGCTGAATTTTGAGTTTCTGTTCTCTACTTAAGTTAGCCTCAACCAAATGTTATGAGACTTACACACAATGCTTATTACCACACAACTCAGATCAAGTTCAAATTTGGGTAGCGTCACTTTTACCGTTCTTCAGTTATGTCCCTTTATAACTATATGATATGCAAGCGGGGGCATCATCTGTGTCCACATGTGGACACTATCCACATTTATTGTAATGTTAATTTCTCTCTTATAATGAGTAATAGGATAACTATATTTGGTATGTGCGTACCTTGCAGGGTCCTCATGCCCATCAGACAGTTTTCACTTGACCTTGACCTCATTTCATGGATCAGTGAACAAGGTTAAGTTTTGGTGGTCAAGTCCATATCTTATCTCAGATACTAGAAGCAATAGGTCTAGCATATTCGGTGTATGGAAGGACTGTAAGATGTACATGTCCAACTGGCAGGTGTCATCTGACCTTGACGTCATTTTCATGGTTCAGTGGTTATAGTTACGTTTTTGTGTTTTGGTCTGTTTTTCTTATACTGTATGCAATAGGTCTACTATATTTGGTTTATGGAATGATTGTAAGGTGTACATGTCTAGCTGGCAGGTGTCTCCTGACCTTGACCTCATTTTCATGGTTCAGTGGTCAATGTTAAATTTTTGAGTTTTGGTCTTTTTATGCCCCGCCGTAGCGGTGGGGGCATTAAGTTTTACCCTTGTCCGTCTGTACGTACGTCCCAAAATTGTTTTCGTTCTCTAACTTTGAGTTTGCCTCAACCAAATGTTATGAAACTTATACACAATGCTTATTACCACAAAACACAGATCAAGTTTGAATTTTGGTGGCGTCACTTTAACTGTTCTTGAGTTATGCCCCTTTATAAATGGAGAAATTGCAAAATTTTTAGATTCCGTTCTCTAACTTAAGTTTGCCTCAGCGTCACTTTTACCGTTCTTCAGTTATGTCCCTTTATCTATATGATATGCAAGCTGGGGCATCATCTGTGTCCACATGTGGACACTATCCTCATTTTTTGTAATACTATATGCAATAGGTCAACTATATTTGGTGTATGGAAATATTTTATGATGTACATGTCAGTCTGGCCGGTTTTATTTGACCTTGACCTCATTTTCACGGTTCATAGCTTAGTGTTAAGTTTTTGTGTTTTGGTCTGTTTTTCTATTACTATAAGCAATAGGTCAACCATATTTGTTGTATGGAAGGATTGCAAGCTGTACATGTCTGTCTGGCATGGTTCATCTGACCTTGACCTCATTTTCATGGTTCATTAGTCAATGTTTAGTTTTCTTGGTTAAGTCTGTATCTTAGAAACTATAAGCAATAGGTCAGCTATATTTAGTGTATTGATGATTGTAAGGTGTACATGTATTTCTTGTTTGGTTTATATGACCTTGACCTCATTTTCTTGGATCATGTTAAGTTTATGTGATAGTTGTAGTAAAGCTTTATATTTAGAACTATCAACATAATATCAATGAGTAGTAAAGAAGGCGAGACATTTCAGCATGTGCACTCTTGTTCAATTTCTATAGTGACATGTAAGATTGTGGGTAAAATCTAGATTAAACAATGTCTACATACTCAGCAACAACAAAAATGTTTACCGACATGAAACCAGTATCTTTGCAGTGTATGATACTTGAGTTATCAACAGAAGACAGAGCTATAGACAATAAATGCTGTTAGCAAACTAAACTAAATTAAGTCTTACTTTGTACATATGCCATCATAATTATAAGAGGATGGATCTTTTAGACCATCATATTGATAGATTATATATGGGTCAAATATTATAAAGGTCAACACCCATCAAAATTATGAAAACTACTTAAGTAGCTATTATTGGAAGTTGCATCATTATGGGGTTCGATTCACAAAGTTTGAAAGTCAGCATCTATCAATGTGCATACAGACAGAAAGAAAACACTTTCAAGTTCAAAGACGGTTGTTAAAGAGGGAAGTCTTCACACAGAGGGTATGATATGATAAAAAAGAATGAGAAATATGGCAACAGAATATTCTGCTTCAAAAAAAGGTTGTTTTTTACTGGTACCGTTGTTTACAGTACTGGTTTCATTTGTTTTACTATAGATAGAAGGGTTTTGGTATTGTTCACATGTCAAAATCATACAATATATGAAAATGAATGAATTCTCTTTGATGTATACAGCACCTGTAGATGTTACTTATCAGGTTGCTGTCTCATTTACACTTATCCACATTTCTTTTTTATTCATATTTTGGTGGCTAGTATGGACACAAGATTTGATAATTTGGTTCTGTAGGATGTTCATGATTTAAGAACTCTATGATATTATACTCTGATATAGTGGGGTGGGGCTAAGGTGACCCCTTTCAAATGATGCTGAATTGAACGGAGTGATGGTGAACAACCAAACCGAAACAATCATCCAGTCAGCTCCTTATTTTGTCAACTTTGTGGTTGTCATAGGTGGAAATGGACACTATGGTGCATAAACAGTTTAATGGTTTTGGGTAAATAGAAATCCCAGAAAACAGGTCATTATTTGTTGAAACAAAAACAAAAAACAAATCAGGATTTCAGGTTGATTTTGTTGTTGTTTTTCAAACAATTTGCTCTGAGTTTTTGTGAGTTTAGAAAAATAGCATTTTCATAATTCAATTTTTTTAATGATTAATGATTTTGTGTACAAGTATCTTCTGAAGAAACGAAAAAGAGCCATTGAAACTTAGATATGGCAAGACTTCTGACTTATACCAGAAAAAATACTACTGGGGATTTTAGGTTTTTTGTCCCATGGTGGTTAAATGCCATCATCTATACTTACCTATATTGAATGTCAGTCATTTCACATTAAATTGAAGAACCAGGCATGTATGGCATAACCCTTCAGCCTTCAGCATATGCTAGTAACTGAGACAAACCTGATGATCAACAGCTCCTTGCATCAAAATAAAAGACAACAAAATCCATGGAAAAATATAAAAGAACAAATTGTATCAATGAATGCTTACTGTACTACTGTGCGGATCCAGCCATCTTTAAAAGGACCCTTGGAACACAATGAAATGTTAACATAAGTGAGAAAAAAAATCACCAGGCTGAGGAACTTAGAATTGGAGTATAAACAAAACGGATATAATTGTTACCTACTTTGCCAAAATGTAGCTTTATGCAATATTATTTTAAAAAATTTAATAATAAGTATAGATCACAATGCTTGTTTTTATTTAGAGCTTTTTCATGGCAAATTAAGCAATACCAAGTAACTTAGAAGAAAATTAAACCCTAAAGTTTTAAAATAAATCAAGTTCTTTTAATATCTTTAAAAAAATATAAAAAATGGTTCACTATACTCGTTTTCTTGCTTATCTAGCAAAATAGATAAATTTACAGTACAATTCTATGAAACTAAGTTTTCAAACTTTGATCAACTTTTTTTTAAATCAGATTGTACAAAAAAAATGACTACCCTAGGATAAATTGTGAATTTTTTCATTAAATTGAAATTAAATTGAAATTGCCTACAAATCGTTTAAATTTCTGCATCAAAATATGCTATAAATTTCAGTAAAAATCTGGACCTCAGTTTGATTACATATAGGGTTTGACCGTGCAAGACTCAAATTGGTAATCATGCAAGGTTGTTAATTGCCCTGTAGTTGTACATTTAACGGTGCTAATTTCACTACACCAGATGCGTATTTCAACAAATATCATGCTTGAAGCAATCATTTTTGAAATACTTGGAAATCTAAAACATTAATACAAATGTTAAAGTGCTGATATTACCAAAAAATGACCCAAAAAATATTCAAAATTAACAAGGTAAGTTATTTAAATTAAGATCTGTGCTATCCTTTGTAGTAAAACAACCTGCTGGTATGGTTAAAATCTTTTGTCATCTGCAATTTTTATTTTAAATCACCCGTCTGCATTGCAATCTATAGATTATCTCCCATTTTTCCAGAAAGAATCATGGCGGATGTTTATCCAGGTGAGCGCGAAAATAAGCATAAAATCTCTATTATTGTCATTACATCGTGTTTAGAACTTCTAAAATGATATCAGTAGCAATGCATAACTCCATGACTTTAATTTGGGTACCCTACATTGATCATTTGTTCCGTATTCTTGGAGAACATTTGTAAACAAGACTTGCTACAAGTTTGTCAACAAATGAAAATACAAACATCTACATGTTTCCATTGCTTCCTACAGCTTATTATAAACTGCCGTAAGAAAATAGTATAGTCCAAGCAGTTATGTAGAAACACGAATTATAATTTTATTTATTGTGGATTAGATATACATGTACCTCAATTCACACATCCACCATTTGACAAAGCTGGATTGCTTGATGTTGTTTTCTTCAGTAAATCTTTAATTGAAATTTGAACATTCCATCTCAACAATTTGATGGTGTTGAATTGAGGTATAATACACCAATAAAGAGTTTATTTTCCTGACTGATCATGCACTGCTCTTTGGTCGGGTGGTTGTCTTTTTGACACATTCCTTGTTTCTGTTCACTGTACATGTTCTCTTCTGATCGAAAATAGTGTGCTGTGCACAACTCAAAGTTCACAGAGTACTACCTAGCCTCAAATAGAGACGACACATCCTGGAGGGTCCTCCCTGTTTTTTTTCTTGTTCTCTTCTGCCTTGTCTGTGGGCAAGTCATTTGTGTTGTGCTCTATGCCTTTTTTGTTTTCTCTGGGAATATAATTCCACTGCAGCAAAAGCATTACAACTTCTGGAAATGGGCTTTTACAAACAACAAATAATATAAATTAACCAAAATGCATTCATCATGTTTAATGTATTCAATCATTTCAATTTTTTATCTTTAAACATGATCATGATGATCAAGTTGTTGCTTTTCAGACAAGAAACCATCCCGTACATTGTATGTGTCGTTTAACATGTTTAACATAAAACTTTGCCCCTTTGCCCTTAAATGTATGTTAGAACACTGAAGTAAATAACAATATTCATTAAGAAGAGCTGACCTGTATAAGAAGTGTTTTTTATGATCAAAAATCACCATTGCACAGCAGTAATATAATGTCAATTTTGCACTTGCTCTTTCAAAAGTTACAGCATTTACAATATCAAAAATTGTACGTTGTCTCAAGTTAATCAAGATTTGGTATTATTATTTAGTGATTTGATAAGTACAAAGTTGTTAAATCCTGGCTAGAGACTGTTAGAGCTTGTACCCCCTCACACTGTAGTGTTCTAGCTTGAATCTTAGGGCAGAAGGGTGTTAGTTTACTGAAATGACTCTTTAGCACAATCATCCAGTATGCAGATGCAGGTGTCCACAAACAAAAATTACTTTGGTATCCAACCTGATTACTCTACCAACTTGTACTGCCAGAAGGTGTTGGCTCATGTGACTCATTTATTTTCAATTTTTGTTTGTGAACCCCTGCATTTGTCAAAAAGAGTGTTGTACTATACAACCACACAGCATGGATAACATCACAGACCGTTACTAAGATTGATAATCCTTTCTAGAAAAAAATCAAAAGACAGAAAGAACCACATGACATACATGCACTTTCAAATTGAATTTGAAACATTTAGATATTATACCAAAACCTCATATTTCAACAGATTTATCACAATTGTCACAGTTCCCAACATATGAGACAACCATACATCTCAAAGTATTCCTGAGGCAATGGGAAGCAGTACAAATGTACCTCCTTCGGAATGAAGCCAATGTCCAATAAGGTGTTGTCCATTTTGAAATTATACAATTTATTATCAACTTTTACAAAAATGTACTTTCAATTTCTTTTTAACGTCTTCGTCACAATAATTGTGATGTTATTTTTTATTAAACTTTCTGTAACCCAATATGAACCACATTGAATGTACTTCAATGGTTTTACACTTGTCATTTTTGGGGCCCTTTATAGCTTGCTGTTCGGTGTGAGCCAAGGCTCCGTGTTGAAGGCCGTACTTTGACCTATAATGGTTTACTTTTACAAATTGTGACATGGATGGAGAGTTGTCTCATTGGCACTCATACCACATCTTCTTATATCTATTCATTAATGTTTATGAGGCTTTAAGACAACCACAGCATACTTCGGTATTAAACCATCCTGATTACTTTACCAACTTGTTTTGCCAGAAAGTGTTGGTTCACTTGACTTATTAATCTAGAATGCTATACATGTAATCACAGGATAATGAACTTTTAAATTCCTATCTTTGAAAATCAGGATTATTTGATGCTTGCTCATATAACATTGTTGAATTTAATTGTTATCTACATGTATATGATTTGTATGAATCAAAGGATGTTGTATTAGGCTATAAAGTATCTCTAAAACAATATTAAATTTTATTTTTCACTATATTTTTTTTTCTCCAAATTTCAGAATCGACTACAGGAAGTACAAAAGAAGACAATTCAGTAGATCAGAACAAAGAACAGGTAAAAATATCTGATATCATATGAAACTTATTATTTCATTGTTTTCCTAGCATGTCTGTCTTTTCCAAGTTTTTTTTTTGTGACAAGTCCACGAGTGCAGCATTCATGAAAAATATGCTGGACTCACCATTTTGTGAAGTGAATACTCCAAATGTGCATCCAGTTTCTATCAGTTATCATCAGTTCATTTTCAAAAATTAAAAAATAGAAATATTTAATTTATTTGATCATTCATCAGTCATTTTGTTTTTACTAAAAGCATTACTTGATGAATTTATATCATCAGCATTTTGTTTTCTTCAATCCTACAACCTCTTGGGGACTTTTCTTTTTCTGTGGATTCATTTAAGGTAATCCATATCATAATTGACCATGTGATGACTAAACACATCTCAGTGCAAGTACAAATATCCATGCCTTCAGTGAATTTAAACTGTAACTGGAAAACTTCTGAAATAGTGTTACATTCTTCTAATAAATTGATAGCAGCATAGTAAATACTTAATGGACTTTCTGGTTTAAATGTTCATCACAGTAAAGATAGTTGTTATATCTGACTATTAAAAACATCCACATCAGTATGGTGTGGATACTTATTTTGATTGGTTCAGATTTTTGTTATTTGAAATAAGATATATTCATTTTTTTACTAATATTATATGGTTTTATGTGAAAGCTGGAAAAGTAATTGATGTAAATAATCAAAAATTATATGTTCTGAGACATTTACCGGTACCTGCTTTTAAAGTTCTCAGAATATCTGCTTTCCAGATCTGTAGACATAAAATAGAAATGATAATTTAATTTAATCACAGATGTGCTGTCACTGCTGTGTATTTTTCAGCTTTTTAATTCAATCTTTTTTGAAAACCCTGATAAAACAAATACTCAAGCTTTATCATAGTACATGTAAACCATGAATTGAGTTGCATGTTTATGTATGTCCATAATACTCATATACATGTATACATTTGTAATGTATGTTAGAGTAAGGAAAAGACATTGAATCAAAACTTGAATTTCAGGAAAAGAACTAAGTCTATTGTTTTTCTGTGATTGCTATATATGAGTTTAATCACTGATATTTTCATCCATTAAATCCACCATGCATTTGTTTTTCATCAAAGCCTGGTATATTGGTTTGTGTCTCTCCTCACAAAATAAGTAAGAATATCCCTGAATTTAATGAATCCACAGATTATTACATGACAAATGTGCAAATGTTGGCTAGATCTCTGTCCATCTTGTTACTGTGATTATTCAAAAGGTTTTGCCCTTTCACGATATGAATCAATGGACACAATTTTCCAAATTTGTTTCAATTTGTGTTTTGAATTAATTTCTTTAAAGTTTAAACTGATAAACTGGTAAAACTTAATGCCATGATTCAAGCTTATAACATTAAAAGAAAAATAAATATGACAAATGACAACCAACAATAATCACTTGACTACTGGCTTCCCACTTGGGACAGGCACACTAAGAATGTAGTGATGTTAAAAATGTTTGTGAGCTTTCAACTGTTTTCCTAACCTGGGACAGTGGTGTAACACACAACATTAGACTAGTTGAGGAGGGACTAAATGAAGTTAATGTTTTAAACATTTTCATTAACATGAGGTCCAACTATTTATGAGCGGTAATTAAATGATAAAAAAAATAGGCTAAGTTTCAATATGACCTTTTTATACGACCGCAAAAAAATTTTGTGGTCGTATATTGGTATGACGTTGGCGTCGTCGTCGTCCGAAGACACATTGGTTTTCGCACTCTAACTTTAGTTTAAGTGAATGGATCTTTTTGAAATTTGACCATAAGGTTAAATACCACAAAAGGAAGGTTGGGATTGATTTTGGGGGTTATGGTACCAACAGTTAAGGAATTAGGGGCCAAAAAGGGGCCAAAAATAAGCATTTTCTAGTTTCCAGACAATAACTGTGGAACGGTGTATGGATCTCTCTGAAATTATACTACAAGTTTCCATACCACAAAGGGATGGTTAGGATTTGCTTTGGGGGGTTATGGCTCAAACCGTTTAGGAATTAGGGGCAAAAAAGGGGGAAAAACAAGGTTGTCCTGGTTAATGGACAAATACTTTAGTACAAAACATAATTTAAAGCAGTGTAAGGAAGATAAATCAAATACATCATTGAAATTATCTCCCTTACACTGCTTTTAAATTATGTATAAAGTAATGGTCAATGAACAATAAAGATAATTTAAAACAGTGTAAGGGAGGTAATCCAAATACAACGTTTTGGTTACTTCCCTTACACTGCTTTTAAATTATGTTTAAAGAAATACATATTTATAAAGGAAGACCAGTAAAAATATCTGCAAATGTTGCATCTTTTTTTTTTACAAAAAAATCCATATGAAAGATTTGACACTATATTTTTAATTCTATTATAAAATAGATTAAGTTAGCACTATGGTAAATTTAAATGGGTAATTATGGTTGCCAACTCCATTGGAAATTTGAATTGAGATTATGACCATATCTTGAGGGAAAGAATTTTTTTGGGGAAAAAAGGGGGGGGGGATAAAAAGAAATTGTGGGGGGTCAATTTTTTCTCATTTCAGATTTCAGAAATTAAAAAGAATTATTCTTCAAATATTTTTTTTTTTTCAAATTTCAAATATTGAAAAATTTCAAGAAGTAATCTTTAATTGCACAGTATGGCGCATTAGATTTGTAAAATCTTTGATCACATTTATTTATTTGTTATGCCGAATCTAACAGTGTATTTAGATTTTTAATTTTGGGTCCAGTTTTCAAATTGGTCTACATTAAGGTCCAAAGGGTCCAAAATTAAACTTTGTTTGATTTTAGAAAAAATTGAATACATGAGGTTCTTTGATATGCTGAATCTAAACATGTATTTAGATTTTTGATTTTTGGCCCAGTTTTCAAGTTGGTCCAAATTGGGGTCCAAAATTAAACTTTGTTTGATTTCAACAAAAATTGAATATATGGGGTTCTTTGATATGCTGAATCTAACCATGTATTTAGATTTTTTATTTGTGGACCCCTTATCAAATTGGTTCATATTGAGGTCAAAAGGGTCCAAAATTAAACTTTGTTTGATTTCATCTAAAATTGAATTATTGGGGTTCTTTGATATTCCAAATCTAACCGTGTATTTAGATTTTTAATTTTGGGTCCTGTTTTTTAAATTGGTCTACATTAAGGTCCAAAGGGTCCAAAATTAAACTTAGTTTGATTTTAACAAAAATTGAATTCTTGGGGTTCTTTGATATGCTGAATCTAAACATGTGTTTAGATTTTTGATTATGGGCCCAGTTTTCAAGTTGGTCCAAGATAGGGTCCAGTATTTAAACTTTGTTTGATTTCAACAAAAATTGAATATATGGGGTTCTTTGATATGCTGAATCTAAACATGTATTTAGATTTTTGATTATGGGCCCAGTTTTCAAGTTGGTCAAAATTGGGGTCCAAAATTAAACTTTGTTTGATTTCAACAAAAATTGAATATATGAGGTTCATTGATATGCTGAATCTAACCATGTATTTAGATTTTTTATTTGTAGGCCCCGCTTTCAAATTGGTTCATATTGAGGTCAAAAGGGTCCAAAATTAAACTTTGTTTGATTTCATCAAAAATTGAATTATTGGGGTTCTTTGATATTCCAAATCTAACCGTGTATTTAGATTTTTAATTTTAAGTCCCGTTTTTTAAATTGGTCTACATTAAGGTCCAAAGGGTCCAAAATTAAACTTAGTTTGATTTTAGCAAAAATTGAATTCTTGGGGTTCTTTGATATGCTGAATCTAAACATGTGTTTAGATTTTTGATTATGGGCCCAGTTTTCAAGTTTGTCCAAGTTGGGGTCCAAAATTAAACTTTGAATATATGGGGTTCTTTGATATGCTGAATCTAACCATGTATTTTGATTTTGGACATTGGACCATAATAGGTAAATTAAAAAAAATTCAAATTCTTAGACCACATTCTTTCTGTGTCAGAAACCTATGCTGTGTCAAATATTTAATAACAATCCAAATTCAGAGCTGTATCAAGCTTGAATGTTGTGTCCATACTTGTCCCAACTGTTCAGGGTTCGACCTCTGCGGTCGTATCAAGCTGCGCCCCAGCGAAGCATTTTATTTGTATTTCATTTGATTTTAATGAGATTTGTTTAAACTGGGTAAAGAGAAACATGTTGCAATAATTACAGTAGTATCATCTGCCATCAGGCACAAACTGTCTTTCAAATATTTTTAACACATTGATTAGTATGAATACACATGAATAGGAAACTGATTTGTTATTTGTAGGAAAGTGACTCTACAGCTTCAGGATATCAAGGTAACTATTCCAGTCGACAAATTATATACTGTAACATTGTGAAAAAGGATAAAATCAATTGACAAATTTTACACACTTCCTTATTATGCAGAAATACCCATGTCTTTTTTGGGTTGCTGTCTCATTATCTACACTAAATCTTTTTATTCAAACCTAATGAAAAAAAATTTTTAAATTTGATAATTCGATAATGCTGGAAAGGGAAAATTATACCATTTACTTGAATGGTGTGTAAAAAATTTAGATTTTCTTTGAATTTGCTCTTCTTTTGAGTTTTGACAAAGCTGAAGATATTGAGCATGTTTGCATGATAATAGATTTCTGTGGGAAATTACTCTAGAAAAAAAAAATTTGTCTTCAGGTTACATGTAAACATGGTAAAGTTTTCTAGTCATGCTATTTATTGTTGAATGATATATTTACACTGTAATTACAACAGGAAGTTGTTAATTGAATTTTCAATCATGACTTTAAAACATACTAAGTACTTTATATTCTAAATTTAAAAACAAATGAAGCCTTGAGTTAAAAAAAATGTTGGCAGGCTGCTGCTTTGTGAGGCCGGATGTATACAACTGATTTAATGAAATAATCAAATTAGATCACATAATCATATTACTTGACACATTGATATCATAGAATGTGAAAACCTCAGAACAATCAATACATCAATCACATATACGTTTACCTGTAATATGTACATATAATGTAATTGTACATGTATTATTTGTTTACTTTACTTGAAGCTTAAAAAAAAATTAAATAACTAATAACCGTGAAAGCTCAAAAGATATTTAGATTTTATTATCAGATGGTAGCCACTGGAGTTTTCTGTTTCTGAAATATTTGATACAGAACTTACAAATGTATAAGTACATTGATGTAAAGTAGCATTAATTTGGTATGTCATACATTTTTTTCAGTTTAAAGAAAGAAAATTTACAGGATTTTACATTGTCATACATTTATAAATGTAATATTTACAGAATTCATGTTCAAAGTTTTAAATTTCAGCTGCCATAGCTCCTAATCCATTTGGTCCTCGTCCTGGAATTAAAACTGACTTAGTATCTTCTAGTTCCTATAATTCTACAGGTAAGTATTGGGCCTCGTCCTGGAATAAAAACTGACTTAGTATCTTCTAGTTCCTATAATTCTACAGGTAAGTATTGGTCCTCGTCCTGGAATAAAAACTGACTTAGTATCTTCTAGTTCCTATAATTCTACAGGTAAGTATTGGTCCTCGTCCTGGAAAAAAAACTGACTTAGTATCTTCTAGTTCCTATAATTCTACAGGTAAGTATTGGTCCTCGTCCTGGAAAAAAAACTGACTTAGTATCTTCTAGTTCCTATAATTCTACAGGTAAGTATTGGGCCTCGTCCTGGAATAAAAACTGACTTAGTATCTTCTAGTTCCTATAATTCTACAGGTAAGTATTGGTCCTCGTCCTGGAATAAAAACTGACTTAGTATCTTCTAGTTCCTATAATTCTACAGGTAAGTATTGGTCCTCGTCCTGGAATAAAAACTGACTTAGTATCTTCTAGTTCCTATAATTCTACAGGTAAGTATTGGTCCTCGTCCTGGAAAAAAAACTGACTTAGTATCTTCTAGTTCCTATAATTCTACAGGTAAGTATTGGGCCTCGTCCTGAAATAAAAACTGACTTAGTATCTTCTAGTTCCTATAATTCTACAGGTAAGTATTGGGCCTCGTCCTGGAATAAAAACTGTTTTAGTATCTTTTAGTTCCTATAATTCTACAGGTAAGTATTGGTCCTCATCCTGGAATAAAAACTGACTTAGTATCTTCTAGTTCCTTTAATTCTACAGGTACGTATTGGTCCTCGTCCTGGAATAAAAACTGACTTAGTAGCTTCTAATTTCTTTAATTCAACAGGTTAGTATTGGTCCTTGTCCTGAAATAAACTTCTTTTCAAGTGACAAGAGTAAATGATAAAACCAATGAATAAAGTACAATAGTCATAAAAGATAAACTTTTTCAATCCCTTCAAAGACTATTATGTGAAAACTAAAACTATTAGTTAGATATAAGAAGATGTGGTATGAGTGCCAATGAGACAACTCTCCATCCAAGTCAAAATTTATAAAAGTAAACCATTATAGGTCAAAGTACGTTCTTCAACACGGAGTCTTGGCTCACACCGAACAGCAAGCTATAAAGGGCCCCAAAAATTACTAGTGTAAAACCATTCAAACAGGAAAACCAACGGTCTAATCTATATAAAAAATGAGAAACGAGAAACACTTATGAACCACATCAACAAACGACAACTACTGAACATCAGATTCCTGACTTAGGACAGGTTCAAACAATTGCAGCGGGTTTATTATTGTCTATTTTCAGTACATCTTACTCCCAGTAGATTATCTGCCAGTGCAGGATTAAAGGGAGGCGATCCTTCAAGTTCTGATGGTAAGTTTTTGTTTACAGTTACATATTGTATTAAAATTCCATTTGTTCAGTTGCACTAGTTTAATGAAGAAATCCTGACAACCTAAATAAAGTTAATTTACTTTTAAAACATATTTGATAATATTGAAACAATAATCTTTAAATTAAGTCTTATTTGAATGTTTTGGAGTGGTGCAATTGAGATAGGATTGAAACTCTGCAAGTGAAAAGACATCTTCAATAACTTGTATGTTTATGATTTTATTTTATTATTATTATTTTACAGAAGAAAAAAGTCACAGATCATCAATTCTTGCACCTTCACGTTTAGGTAGGTTTTTATATCTTAAAATTCAACATTACACTCTTACACTGACTGCAGCAAATACAGTGAAACACAGGGTTCTGCAGAACCTTTTACAAATTGTTTTATTTGGTTTTTAGTCCCCTACCGAAGAAGTCGAAGGGGAATTTAGGTTTGCTACTTTTATTTAGTTTCATTGAAACAGAATTTAATCTGGCAAAAGATATCAATATTTAAGAAAATCTGAGGATTGGTTGGAAAAATTATCATTTTAAATTAATTTTGGAAATGTTCTCGCTCGTTTCACATACATTCCAGCAAATATGCATAGATAGTAAGAAATTCATGCATCCAAATATAGTTGAAGAAATTTGTTTTTCAAATTTCAAATTCAACACATATACAACAGCTGTATGCAAAATCTTAACAAAAATATGTTGCATTGCTCATTTCACAGAAACACTGAAGGATGAATTTGCTTTATTTTTAGGAATGTTGAATAAAACAGATGTAGCCAGTCCCACAAAATGTCTCTTGAGACCTTCAGCATTATCAGCTCAAGTGCAAACATTAAAACAAAAAGGTAATGTACAACCTCAATGCATTATTCTGTCTTTAATTATAGTCTCTGAAGTAGGTTCTAAAAGGCACTTTGTATACATTTAAATTTCAAAATGTACAAAAATTATTCATTCTTGTCATAATCTGTTTGAAAAATTCAAAAGTCAAATTTAATAATGTTTTTTTTTGTGTGCTGAATTATATCACATTCCTTTAACAATATAAAACCACACATATCATTAAAATGTTTTTTACAACATGTCTAAAAAAAAGTTCAAAATATGATTGAATTGGCTACATTAAAATTCACAGTCTTGTGGAAGATTATTTTTCTAAATAACAGGTCTAAATGTTAGTTTTAAACTTTCTGGTTGTCTTGACTAGGTTACAGGGCCAAATTTGCGTATCAGTACATCAGCGTCTATATGTGTATCCGCAACAAGATTTCAAAAAGAGATAGACATACAACCATATAGATGTAATTTGATGTTCTAATGTAATTTGGAAAGTCGGATCACTTGACCTTTCACTCACTTTGCTGAGGTTTTACATCCAAGTTAACTTTGAAGTTTATTATTCAGATATCAGGTAATACAAATGATTTTGTTTGATAAACATCCAGTGGCAAACATTTCATGCATGTTCAGAACGAGAACAAATTAACAATAAATACAGTAGGTCGTTCCTGTAATACTGGTTACTATGATGAAGGGATGGAAATTTGGACTGCTACTGGAAAATGAGGGTATTTTGGATAGGGACAGAAATGTAGCCTCTCAGCAGGCTTCCTAAGGACTCCTTAAAGAGTTGTTACCAGATTTTTAAATGAGCAGAGAGCGTGGCTTTCTCTCGAAACAAGGCATTGGATTTAACATTCTGTTCTGACCAGACGTGATTGGGTATTTATATATCCTGCACAACCAAATGGATGCCCTCTTTAGCAAGGTTTTACTGCACATTGAAAAAAGATCAAAAGTGACCATATTTCTATTTCCCAGTCACTCTTGGGGTGAGATATTACATGACCTATAATAAAAAAACTTGGTAATCATTTTAGGAGTGTAATACTCTGATGCCAAACGACCTTCATTTCCAACTTTAATAAAATATTGAATAAAAGAATTAGAGAGAAGCAACACATTTAAAATATGAAGACATGTTTTATCTTCAATATTGAGAACAAAGTGGCCTTAAATTATGTTACTTGATGTTGTGAAATATTTAAGCAAGTCTGGTAATGTCCAACAAATGAAAGTTACTTTTAACTATTTCATGAATCACTGATTTTAGCTGCATTTGATTTCAGAATTTATTTCACTGTGATGATAACTTTCAATTTTCTATTATTTTTTTGGCATTTAATGGTAAATATTAGTACATAAAAAAAATATGTGAGGTAATCATTGCAGCAACCTATGGCTCATAATTACCCAGAGTGATGGCTGAATTAAGCAAATGAATAAAACCAGTTTTAATGATCTGGTATTTTGAAGGGAACTTGTAAAACAAATTAACCAGACATTTTGTCGTTGCAGATTCACAACAAGAACAAAAAGAAAACCAAGAATCTGTCAACCATGAAAAAACACCCGAAGCCACTCCAACAAGTTTTATTACAAAAGAAAACTATTTTGCCACAGCTCTTACAAGGTAAGCATTTACTAATTTGTTTGTGTGTTGCACACTAACTAGTAAATAATGCAAATGAATCATTTCAGATGTATTTAATAGAAGGAGAAAACAAAAAATGTATTTATTTATTTTTTCTGTTATGTACTGTAATTTATTAATTACTCTAACATAAAGATAACAAAAAATTATTTGTATTAAGTATTTTAGGAATCACCCTGTCTTTCTGTCCTTCTGTCTCTCAGTTATGCTGTCAAAGTGTTTTGTAAACACAACTCCTAAACAGCTTGATGAAAATTGTTGAAATTTAATAGAGTTGTAGAACACTACCCGAAGATGTATATAAAGGAATATAATCCAAGTCCAACATTTAAAAGGGGAGATAATCAAATTTACATACTTCAATATATTGATTGATTGATGGTTGGTTGCTTAACGTCCAGTGGCAAATATGTCATGTCTCTTATTAATGGTCATTGTTTAGTCCTCTATTATAAAATCAAAAACTAACTTGCTCGGTTACATGACAGTGCAGTTGAGATCATATGCCTTTTATATGGCAACCAAAATTATTTTCAAATATGTATAATAAACTGACATTATAATAGTATTTTGCAACTTATTATGAAGGCAAATCAACCACCAAAAAAAAAGGTAAAGACATTTACATTGTATATTTTCAGTGCACCTGATTCAACGACTGATGATGGTGGAGGAAAAAATGAATTTATTTTTGGTCAAAATTTAAATGAAAGAGTCACAGTAAGTACATGTAGATGAATTAAAGAAGGAGACATCAATCCAGCAAAACAAATAAACAAATGGCATCTGAAGGTTAACATACAGTCTTCAAAAATAGACTGACTGGTGTCTGTACAATATGTCAAACTCTTTAATCTTCTATAGACTGAAAATGTTATGAATATATTAAAGGAAACTTTCAAAGATCTGTACCGAATTCTCCAAATAATGATTAACATTAAAATGTGACATAAGACAACTGTTGACAAGGTTCTTGACTAGTATATTACATTTTATTTCACAAAAATTGTTGTGTCTACACATAGATGACATTACAATAACTTCAGCACACCATTATACAAGCACATTTACAATGATATCAAAATCTGAAAGAAGGATTAAGTATATGATTAAGTTATCTTTTTCTTTCAGGGTGTAAATCCATCACCTGACAGTAAAAGAGATTCTAGTGAATCTAGTAAGGAATTTGTTTTTGGTCAGAATTTAGCTGATCGTGTAGTTCAATCTTCTACTAGTCCTGACGATTCAGAAAGTAAAGATAAAGACTTATCAGATGATGAAGCAGAAGCTGGCAAATGCATAGGTAAAATCTGAAACATATATGTTTAAAAAGAAAATCTGAAACATATAGGTTTAAAAAAAAAATCTGAAACATATAGGTTTAAAAAGAAAATCTGAAACTTATAGGTTTAAAAAAAAATCTGAAACATATAGGTTTAAAAAGAAAATCTGAAACTTATAGGTTTAAAAAGAAAATCTGAAACATATAGGTTTAAAAAGAAAATCTGAAACATATAGGTTTAAAACGAAAATCTGAAACATTTAGGTTTAAAAAGAAATCTGAAACGTATAGGTTTAAAAAGAAAATCTGAAACATATAGGTTTAAAAAGAAAATCTGAAACATATAGGTTTAAAAAGAAAATCTGAAATGTATATGTTTTAAAAAATCTGAAACATGTATGTTTCAATGATTTGACATGTTTTTATAGGTAGTACATACTTCATAAGAACATGTAAGTGCAACTAATTATGAACTCTGAAATGCACAAAAAATACTGCTTGTTTTATTTATATGTTTTCCCCTCTTCAATTATCTTCTCTCTGATGATTTTTTGATTCACTAAAGACAGGATCATTCTATTTAGCTCCTTTTAATATCAAACAACATCTCAAGATCTGTGACATCTAAAATGTGACCAACAACCACCATTTTTAGTAAGGCTATTTGAAACTTTCTCCTCAAGAATGAGCACAATATTTGTTACTGCTTGACAAGAGAAAAACCAGTCAGTTATAAAAAGTAGTGATCATTAATCATCAGCTAAATTGTTCTTCACCTAGAACTCACAAAACATCAAAGGAAATGTATACATACAGGTGGAAACAATTAACAAAGTTCAAAATCCTTTTATGTAATCAAAATTTGCTGAAACAATCCAGAAAATTGCTATAAAGTTACCCTTGATAATCACTCGGGTAATAAATGATACTCTACTACTATACCTGTATTGGAATTAAATCTTCTTATTTAGTAGAGCATACAATAGTATAAGTTATATGGTTTACTACTGACCCCTACGGATCCATAGAGGGTTAGTAAAATCCATAGGGGGTGAGGCCTCAGCGTTAAACCAATCACAACGTCATAATTTATTCGAGGTGTGATAAATTGTAATAACATTATTTATTCAACATGTGCCAATGGTCTAAAATGCATTGTTTGACACAAACCCTTCAAGAAAGACCAGGATGATCTTATAAATGGGTGCTTTATGTAACATATATTTTTATTTTGTAGGGATCTTAAGTCAACAGGAAAAATTTAATGTGAGGGAAAGTGTGTTTTCAAGTAATGCTCTAACTTTTGAATTTTATTTTTGGTTTCAAACATAACAAAATTAGAATTTACTTGAGAGTATATGTGTTTCAATTTAAACTGAATATTTGTGGTTCTGTTTTATTATCAGAAAAAGCAAAATCTTTAGAAGAATCAGCTAGAGAATTTCAGGCAAAGTATGAGAGAAAGACAGAATTAAAAGAAGTTGAGATTAAAACTGGAGAAGAAGGAGAATCTAATGTATTGCAGGTAAATTTCTATTTATAACAATTAGCATAGTAAATGTCTATCATGAATCAATTAGGCATATGTATTTAATCTTGTCATCTCAGTATATAGACTTTAAGGTCATCTCCAAAAAACTATATGGACCATCTTCGTTTCTGTCCATTTAATTTATGGTAGATCACCGGTCCCATAAACTGCCATGTGATCCTTAGTGCCATGAATTTTTTATTAAATTTACTTAAGGTTTTACTTCTGTAACAATTTTTATTGTTGTTGTCCAAATCTATAGTATTTAGAGAGTAACTGTATTCAGCAAAAGCATGTAGCAAAATGAGATCTACAAATAAGTAAACACGATAGAAATTGTATTTCGACTCCTTGTAGTTATTAACCTTAAATAATGATATTTGACCAATTTCTGTGTTTTTGCCTAATATCTCGGATACTGTAATAGATACACTGAAACTTTGAATAGAAAAATTATAAGCCACATATGATCTACAAAAATTTAATGATTAAAATCTTTGCCTCTTAATCACAATTTGAACTATATTTTTCATCTTTCGTATTATCTTAAAAGCTATATTGGATAGAAAAAAAACTCTGTCAAGCAAAAATTATCACTAAGACAAGATTTTGACCCGCACAGTTTCCAGTTTCCATTCAACCCAAACATTATTGTTGCATTTTATTAATGTTATGTAAAAATGATGGTTTTGTAGACCAAATTCTGTATCCTTTGATCTACCATGATTTCAAAATTATTACTGATGAGATATTGTTTATGTTTCAAATTTATGTTTTATCCATTTTTTGTTAATAGCTTACATTGTTTACCTTGCATTTAGTTTAACCTTTTCACATATTTCTTTTGAGACCGGACATTTACATCTTGCATACACATCTAGTATTAATAAGATGTTGTTGAAGCAATGTTGTTCATTGTTTAATTGATGTTATACTAATTGTGAATTTCAGGCAACTGGTAAATTATTTGTGTTTGACAGTGCTAATCAAAATTGGATAGAGAGAGGACGTGGTTTATTACGATTGAATGATTTGAGGAGTTCATCTGGAATGGGAACAGAATTTCACTCACGATTAGGTATATCTTATTTTAATGCTCCAACATGAATAAATCATAACCACATTATTATTTCAGGATTTAAAAAATATTTTGTCAAAATTGGTCAATTAGGGCAATTCCTTAAACGCATTTTGTTAAAAGGCTGAGAGATAAGAATAATTTCATGTGATTTCCTAAAAAATTGTAATTGATATATAAAGATGTTTTTACTTTGTGATTTCAAAATTCAAAAGGCCAAAATGTGCCTTATCATCATGTCTTTACCTTTCTATATGATTAACATATATTTTATTAATATATAATGTACATATATTTCAGTTATGAGAACACAAGGCAGTCTTAGGGTTATATTAAATACAAAGATATGGGCAGGGATGACAATAGAAAGGGCTAGTCAGAAAAGTCTTAGAATAACTGCTACTGACTCCGATGAAGGTGTAAAAGTCTTTCTTATAAATGTAAGTAAAAATCCTCAAAGCATATTTATCAATATGAATACACTGAAAAGAATGAAATATTTTGTTTACTTTTTGTAGTTAGATTGATTGTTGAATCTAAACAACAAATGTTCATGAAACTTTGTAGTTAATTAGGACATACTATGTTGATGTGCATATCAACAGGAAATTATGATTGATTGTTGTTTTCTTTTAAACACCTCAGTATTATATAGAAAGGCTATGTTATGGCCAGTCTTTTTCTGGCATACAACTTGGATAACATTTCAGGGAAAATGTTAAAACAATGGATTAGATACTCAAATGTCAAGGTTTCACAAATTACAGCAATTGAAAGCAATGGTAATATGTATATACAAACATTGTAGACAATTAAAAGGCTCTGAAAAATTGATTGCAGAAAACAGTCTACTTATTTTAATTGCCTGTCAACTTGCAAATCACAATACTATAGGAATAATTGCATTTGGGCAACATAGACTTTCATTGCACACTAATATTATCTAAATAAAATAACAGAAGATAACAGAGATAGATTTAGGTTAAACAGTTATCAATGTATATTTTTAAAGACAAGTATAAAAGACAGTGAGAATATAATGAGAGCTGTTGACTGGAGAATACAACAGTTAAGAGTCAGAGAAGAAGCAGATAAACCAAAATCCTCAGAAAAACGCAAAGCCGACATAGATTCATCACCTGATGAAGCTTCACAGAAAAAATCAAGGTATTTAGAAATATAAGTGAATTTTGTTATCTGCAAGCAGTAAGAAACACTGTCTAATATAAGTCTTTTTTGGTTATGCCAAAATCACTGAAAGTAAAAAGTGAAAAAAAATAGCTCTATAAGTGTAAACAAGCCAAACACAAAATCCACATGTGAAAAATACCATAACCATTGAAATGATTAAAAAAAGTATGTTTTGAAGCAATTTAAATATTTTCATGCACACTGGTCTAAAATATATGAAAGTCAGATTTAATTTGTGTGTTCTGATAGTTTAATTTGACAGCTGATGTTATTGAATTTGTATTGTTATTTAGGCAAAGAAGTCGACTATCAAAGTTAAAATATTTGAGCCTGAAATTCTTTTGACAAAGTAGAGAACACCAATACTAAATAACTCTTTATAGAAAGCTAAATTTCAGTAACAGTTATAATAACTTAAAATAATATTATAATTTAGAGTAGATGAAGTACCTTGCGTTAGAAGAGAAGAATCTGATGGCAGTGTGCTGGATCCAGAAACAGAAGGTATTATTTATTAAATTTCATACGGTAACTGAATGAATTGTAGGAACAGTCTTTCTGGTTCTAACTTTAGATTTTTAAATGCATTTGTACTGATTGACATGTTTTTATGGACGTTTGGTATTATAAATACATTTATATATCAGCTACAGTCAGATCTTTCTTTTTAAGTGAAACTTTTTTTTTACATCTCAAAAGACAAGTATAGTATAACCATGGGTATTGGATATTACTGGTTTGATTGCAGAATATTTTGAATAAAATGGTAGGGGCATATCCTACAAAATCAAATAAAACATGGATCAGTTCAAAACTAGAGAAAAAGAGTTAACCAGTGTTAAAGAGGTGACAGGGTAGTTAATTAAGGATTTGAAAATCCTTTAAATGACATCATTGTTCAAGGACATCATACAATAGTGCCACCTGATCATGATACATTTGGGATTAGAAAAAGAGAAGCGAAGGATACCAAACTGACAACGCCATGGCTAAAAAAGAGAACGACAAACAAACAACAATACACAAAACACAAAACAGAAAACCAAAGACTGAGAAACACGAACCCCACCAAAAACTGGGGGTGATCTCAGGTGCTCCGGAAGGGTAAGCAGATCCTGCTCCACATGTGGTTGAGGACGGGATTGTAGTTACGACAATTGGAACATATCCATTGTCATCTGTGAAAGATTAGGAAGAGTTATTTGAATGGAAAAAAATATTGTTCTTTTTCATACACCTTAACAAAATTCAGGAAACTACTCTCAGCATGTGTGTGCATGTCTCTAGACAGTTTTAAGAAACTAATGGACATACATACATATAACAGCTAAGAAGTGTAGAAATACAAATTTAATTTATGAATATAAAAGTCTTCAACAAAAAGTAATACACAAAATCTGAGTCACTATACTGAGTAACTAAGCTGAGCTATCCAAAGTCAACTACTTTGATGCAAATGTGAAGTCATTTCAAATGTTTAACCTTCAATAAAGTTGCCATCTGCTTCATTATATATTCTTCAATTTTTCAGCATCATCTGAAAGCTGTACATCTTCATCATTGACTGTTAGATCAGAATCAGACTGAGGCCAGGAGGAAATGAATTTCAATCTAATACTTAATAGGACATAGTGATTATAGCAATGAAATTGTGATCAATATTTAAACATTGAGACAACAACATCAATAAAACTTGGCTACAAAGAATTGGATAATATTATGTTTAGCTAGTCTTCTTTATAGCTTAATTCTCAAAATAATGAGTAAAAATGATCGACAAACACAATTTTATATACCTTAAAAGTATTACAACATTGCTTTTTAAAAAAACACTTTAGAGACACTTAAAAGTGTTAGTTAAAGTGACACCACAGATACCAGAATGTTTATAATGTATTTTTGTTCTGTGTTCTCTGGCTCAGGAACGTGTGTAGTTATACTGAATGATAATATAAAGTATCATTACAACAAAATACTATGTAAATGTTGAGGAGGGTTTTTTAGTTTTTTTTGTCATTACATTATATGATATTGTCGGACATTATATCAAAACCCATTTGGTTATCTGATGCTTTGTTAAAAACCAGAAATAATGGATATGAAGATTGTATTTTTTCTTTGAGAGTATAATCATATTTTCTCGTCACTTAGATACTCATGATATGAACCTTCAATACATTAGGCAGAAAAGTTTTGGAATTAGAATAGATCTCTGATTTCAGACGAGAACAATTATGTTTTCAATCAAGACTGTAGTCATATTTTGACCTGTCTTTTTTGATAACCCAGCTAAATCAACTTTGAAGAACGTACTAATTCGAGATTTTGTTAATTTGTTCTGATGTATGGAATATGTATTAAATATTTGCCACTGGGTGTAAAACCAACAGCAATCAATATCAATCAATATGAAGGAAACTGTAGTCTTACTTTTATTCTCATATTGTCAGAATCTTATTTGAAATCAAACCCATACAATTATTCCTGCACTGTGTGTTAATGTCACAGAACAAGCAGAACATAATTTTAACATGTATCCACTCTAAATACACTCCTCCAGTTTCTTGTGACCTGGGCAGGGGGTTAAGTAGCCAAGTGGTCTGAGTAGTTCAGTGATCACTAGACTGTCAACATTGAAGTTGTGAGTGAGAACCCTGCTTCAGCAAGGTATTTCAATCCTAAGCTTAATTGACTAGGATTCATCCACAAATAAAAATTGGCTGTTGATATACCTGAAAGTGGTGTTAAACACCATCAATCAATCAATTTTCTGATTGGTTAATTTATAGCATGGAATTTTATATTAAAAGTACTTTGCCATACACCAAATTATAGGATGGATGTACAGGGGACAAAAAGATAAATACTTACTAAAGAACGCACACCTTATAGAAAATACTGATTTTCAGATATATAACTGTTGGTATTTTCAACACAAATCACTGAAAATTGCAAAACAAATGCAGTGAGATAATCTAATAAGGCACATGCATTTTTCAAAATTATTTCTGTTTTGTCGTGCCTGATTTGTTGAATTTAATTTTGGCTAATATGTATTTACTCAAAAAGTGTGCTATATTTTTTTATTGCAATTTTTGTCTCGCCTTGACGGAGTCAAAAAGCGAGACATAGGTATGCTGTTTCCGGCATCGGTTGCATCAACAATGTATTAGTTTGTGATTAGGTCTAGTTCATGATGAACCACTAGTGGTAGGTCAATGGTATTTGGTATGCAGTTGTATTAGCATTGGCACATCTCTTTACCATGGAGATTATTTGGCCCCGCCCCCTCAGTCAAGGTCTATTAACTTTGAAACTTTGCTTAGTTTACATGTATTAGTTTGTGATTAGGTCAGTTTATGGGGAACCACTAGTGGTAGATCAGTGATATTTGGTATGCAGATGTATTAGCATTGGCACATCTCATTACCATGGAGATTATTTGGCCCCGCCCCTCAGTCAAGGTCTATTGACTTTGAAACTTTGCTTAGTTTACATGTATTTGTTTGTGATTAGGTCAGTTTATGGGGAACCACTAGTAATAGGTCAATGATATTTGGTATGCAGTTGTATAAGCATTGGCATATCTCATTTCCATGGAGATTATGTGGCACCACCCCCTCATTCATGGTCTATTGACTTTGAAACTTTTGCTTAGTTTTCATGTATTAGTTTGTGATTAGGTCAGTTTAAGATGAACCACTAATGTAAAGTCAATGATATTTGGTATGCAAATGTATTGGCATTTGCAAGTTTCATTTCCATGGAGATTATATAACCCCACCCCCTAATTATGGTTCATTGACTTTGAAACTTTTACATAGTTAATGTTTGTGTTTAGGTTTGTTTAAAGGGAACGACTTACGAAAAGACAACGGTATTTGGTTTGCAGTTGTATTAACATTGGCACATCTCATTTCCATGGAGATTGTTTAGCCCTGTACCTTCAGTCATGGTTCATTGACTTTGAATATTTGCATAACTTACATGTTAAAGTATTGCTATTTTAATTTCAACATTTGCATTATCAAAATAACAAATAGGCGAGACATATCTCTGTGTTAACAGTTTATTAAAGTTGAAAGCTTTTCAGAACTGCTGAAAATGACAATAAAATGCAATAAGCGCTGAAAGAACTCCTTTTCACCATAAGTGCTAACTCTCTGTTATTCATAGTCATATTCCTATATTAGGAGCAACATTTAATCACTGATTGTATACTGTTAACAGTCGTCTTAACCAGATCAATTCCAAATTGTGCTTGAGCTTGTATGCTTGATCTGAACATGCTATTTTCTGTCAGTCAAACAAATTCTGTTGGTAACATTTTTTCATTTTATTTTATTAAAATACTAAATGATCATTTTTATCTTGCCATACATTCACAACTTAAGATACCGGTTGAATTCTTTTGTCAACAGATGGCAATTTATTTCATTAAAAAACATAAAAACATTTCAGCTTTTTAACATCTTCATGCCTTAGTATTTTTTTTTTCAACATGGAAATCAGTGATCATTTTTTGCAGAAATGTTCATTGTTCAAGTATGTTAACATGACATATTATAAATCTGCTTTTTACATAGTGTGACAATTAGTAAAGTCATTAGCATTGTGGAAAGTTTACATTGTAATAATTATCCATCATGCCTATGTAGTCAATGTTCAGTCTCCCTTATGAGACTTGTTAATATGTTAATAAACATGTAATCTGTCTTATTACCTCTTTATTTATAGCCAGAAAAGGGGGAAATGATGTATTTTCAAGGTCATGAATTTAACTTTTTTGTATCCTGTCAATTAGAATAGTTACCAATGTTCAACATTCAATCCTTCTGTAATCAAACAATTTCCGGACTTTCTTTCATAATTCTTGCAGATATTGATCAGATATTTGGTACAAAAGTCTATAATAATGACTTTTGAATTGAGTTTGCTTTTCCTTCTGTTTGACAAAACGTTTTGCAGAAATATGGCCTTTGAAAATTAATGAAATTATTCTTGTTTACTCTTTATTACATAAAAATCTGCAGATCTGAGGCTGATTTTTGGTACACAAGTGTGAAATGATGACTATCAGATCCAGTTTATGTTTCATGTGGTTGAAAGACTTTTGGCTGAATTACTACCCTTGGATTAAGATAATTCATGAATATTATACCTGTCAAGACTTTCTTTTATAATGCCTACAGGTCGGAAACTGATTTTTGGTACATAAGTGTATAATGATGACTAACAAATAAAGTTTGAGGTTCTTTCTGGTTGAACATCTTTTGGCAGAATCACGGCCCTTGGACTAAATTTCAGGAAAGTGTTCTTATCTGGATTTATTAAGGCAATTCCTGCAGATCGGAAGATAATTTTTGGTACATTATTTTATTATGATGACTACCACATCTAGTCTGGTTTCTTTCTGGTTTACAAATTTTGGCCTTTTAACAAGAATTTTATTGTCCTTTTTTTCTGTATTCCTGTTTATCTTGAGCTGATTTATTTGTACATTAGGGTATATGATGACTCACAAATTGAGTTTGAGTGTTGTTCCAGTTCTTTTTTGCAGAATTACATCTGACTTTTTGTCTTGCCTGCGACGAAAGTTGCAGAATGAGAGACATACCGGTAGGTATTACAATCTGGCGACAGCATAAACTATTTGTATAAAGTATTATATCTCAGAAGCTAGAAGACCTGGATGCTTCATACCTTGTATGCAGTTACCTTATTTTATGAAGTTTCAGTCTGTCATATCTCCATTGTCCTTGACCTTATTTTCATGGTTCATTGACTGCTTGAAGAAAAATTACAGTTTTTTTGGAAAGGTGAAATACTCACTTATTATGAGTAAGATGATAACTAAATATGGTATATGGGTTCCTTGCAATGTCTACATGTCCATCAGGTAGGGTTCACCTGACCTTAACCTCATTCCATGGATCAGTGATCAAGGTTAAAGTTACATTGTCAAGTCCGTATCTCCGATACTATAAACAGCAGGTCAACTATACTTGGCGTGTGGAATGATTGTAAGGTTTACATGTCCAACTTGCAGGTTTCATCTGGCCTTGACCTCAATTTAATGGTTCATTGGACAATGTTAAGTTTTTGTGGTTTGGTCAATTTCTTATATACTAAAGGCAATAGGTGGACTATATTTAGTGTAAGGAATGATTATAAGGTGTACATGTCTGACTGGCAGGTTTCATCTGACCTTGACCTCATTTTAATGGTTCATTGGACACTGTTTAGTTTTTGTTGTTTGGTCTATTTCTCAGATATTATACGCAATATGTCAATTATATTTGGTGTATGGAATGATTGTAAGGTGTACATGTCTGTCTGGCAGGGTTCACATAACCTAGACCTCATTTTCATAGTTCATTGGTCAATGATAAATGTAAAGATTGTTCTCAATCTTAATTTCAACTATAGTTTTTAAATATTCGCCTATGCAAAATACCTTTGCCAGTATTTTCTTACAAAAAAATAACTAAATTATCTTCAGGAAATAGAAATTATATTATCATTAAACCAATACAATAGATAGAAGTACAATAAATATGATTCAAGGGTTTTTTGTATGTCAAAGTATTTACCTATATTCTCTGATGCTCAGTTGGAAATCCCCTTTTTATACGCCAAAGTACACTTATCATTGCGTGTAAGAAAGTAGATCGCTAACATTCAAGGTAAATCATGTGTATTACTGTCAGTGAGTACAATAATATTGGATTATATAGAAAGTAAGCATAATTTCATCATCTTGACACCGCTTTAGGAATATAAAGCAGGTAAATAGCAGTTACCTAAGAAATGTAGGAAAAATAACAAGCATCATAACAACATATGTCATTTGAATGCAACAAGTTGGCAGAATTTTGTAACGCAAAATAAGAAACTGTCAAATTTGCCGATAATATTTTGGGCCAAGTATAATTAAATGTTCATAACACTTAAGTTTTCATAATTTTGTGTTTCTCATGTATTATTAGTGATAGGATCACTATATTTGGTGTATGGAAGGATTGTTAGGTGTACATGTCTGTCTGGCATGGTTCATCTTACTGTGACCTCATTTTCATAGAAAACAGATAATTTTAAGTTTATGTGATACTTTTAGTTAAACCTTCATATTACAGACTTTCAACATAAATTCAATGATAAGTAAAACAGGCGACACATTTCAGCTTGTGCACTCTTGTTGAGATAAGGCTGCTGGCAGGGGCTTTCTGTCATACCTACTTTTGAAAGAATTCAACTCAAGTCAGAAAGACATGTATACCTAACAATCATTCTACACACCAAAAATATTTAACCTATTAATTATAGAAACAGACATAACCACAAAAACTAAACATTGGCAAATGAAACATGAAAAAGAGGTCATGGTCAGATTAACCCTACAGGCAGATATGTTCACCATACAATCATTCTTGACACTAAATATAGTACACCATGAGAACTTTACATTCACCAATGAACCATGAAAATGAGGTCAAGTGGAGTCGAGTAACACAGGAAAAATGATTCCTTTCACCTTTGTAGTATTTAAATATTATTTCCACAGTAAGTTACAAATGTTACATGGCAAGAGTTCAATATGGCATCCCCACCATATAGAAACTCTTTCCATATCTGCAAAACATAAGTCAGAATGCAGGAAAATGGCTTCAATTTGTTCAAAATATTTCCAGGGTATGGGGGATCAAAGCTCACTAGTGACACTACTGACACAAAGGATGCTTACTACTGATGGTGTACAAATGGGTAAAAAGCTCTATAATTAAATTTTTTGAAAGGTAACATTTATCCTTCTTGGTTAAAGGCCATTTGTTTAAAACTAAAACACTTATTTCTACAAATGGTTACATAATTTGAGAAGTGCCTTTTTTTCAAATACCACAGATGTTTTTTCTAACAGTACAGTGACAAATAATGGTTTTCTATACCCTCCTTTAAAGTACAAGTGTCATTTCATGCAGTTACAAAAATGGAGACAAAGGTTTATCTTTATTTTTGCCAAGCATAATTAACAATAACATAAAAAATTTATTGCAGATAGTTCATTATTTCTGCATAACATAATTAACAATTACATATAAAAAATTATTGCAGATAAGTTCATTATTTCTGCATAACATAATTAACAATTACACATAACAAAGTCTTGCCATGCTAGATTCAAAAATTTAATGGTTAACAATTACAGATTCAAAGTTGTTGCCTAGTAAGATCAATAATTATTGTCCTTCTTGATTAATATTGTACCAATCTCTTTTTAAAATACAAATAATTACATTCTCTAGTTTAAAATTCACTAAATCACTACTGTATATTGACTTGGAGAAACTCCATGTCTGACAAACATTTGATTACTGCCAAGAGTCACCAACAACTGTCAACCATCCATGATAGCTGTGTATTCCCTCTGATGTTGAACCATCCTCTGGAACACTTGGTACTTCTTATCATGGTACCTATGATGTAATTACTTTGTTGTTAAAACTAGAATATTTCAGATTAGTGTTGTAACTAATAATCTAATTTTGTGAAACTGAAGTAATTTATTCTATACATACCTAATTTATTGACACTAACTGAAGATAACTACTCAATGATTTCTTCGGACTAACTATATATACAACTGTATTTTTTGGTATGTGTGTGTTCCTCTTTGTTATTCTTTTGTTCTATAGTATACAGTAGCTATAATTTACAGGGCAAAACAAGTTGAACTTAAAGTTTTCAATATACAGGAAGTTGATCAGCAGTGGAATAGAAAATACAAATGCATCAAATGGTTAAACATGCCTACATGAGGCCTTATACCAAATTTCAGGGTGCTTTGGTCCATAGTCCCTGAGAAGAAAGTGACGAAAAATTTATAAATTCTCATGTGTAAGAATATAAGCAAATTCTGTAAGCAGGAGGTTTATGAGTTATGAATCTGAAAATAAAACATATTGTGAAGCACACTTACGTGTACCTTGATAACAAATTTCAAAAAGTTTTGATTTGAAGTTCCTGATAAAAATGTGACGAAATATTCAGTAAACAGGAAGATCATGAGCAAAGAAAGCGAAAACTAATCACACAGTATAACAGAATCACATGAAGCTTGGATAAAAATTTAGGAAGCTGTGATTTGTAATTCCAAAGAAAAATGTGACAGACAGACAAAGGGTAAAATGGTATACCCACCCCTCCTCCCTGGTTGGGGTATAATGAAAAATACATTGCTCTGAAAACACATACTGTCTTTCCTGTAAATCTGGTCTGATTAACTTTCCTTTTCCTCCCATCTGTTTTACTGCATCCTAAAATACAAAAACAATTAACATATAACCAATGATTTACTTCACACTGAACAGACAATTTAAACCATGGCAATAAAAAACAATATTTAAGAAATTGGAGAGCAAAATCAATACAAAGTATATTTAAATCTTTTCCATCTAGAAACATATTTTGGCCAAACCTTATAGATCTGGAGTAAGTCAATTATTAATAAAAGAAGATTTGGGTGTGCACCAATGAGACAGTTACTGAATGACAAAAATAAAAAACTGTAAAGGGTTCTGTGCGTCTTCTGCAATGCTGCTGTCTATGTCAAAGTGTAATGTTTTCTAAAACTAACTCAATTTATTAGAAATACGGAAATACTTTGTTTTTAAATCAGTTTTTTTCTTCATATGCTATTTCTTGGTCTTCAAGAAGCTTCTGTCCAAGTTTCATAATACTCCATCCAATTTAATGCACAAGTTCCATGCATCTCCCAATAGCATCTACATACCTGTACATTTTTAAAGTTGCCTGAAGCACTAGCTCCAAGCATTGCAGCTCCTAATAAAACTGATTCTTGTTCATTTGGTAGAATGGCAGGAATACCTACAAACAAAATACAAAATGGCTAAAAAATTACTTCCTCTTTGATGACATCATAATGGAAGAAAAATTTCAAATAACATATACCAGTACATTGGATAAACAAATACATATCATCTTAGATATTTACAGACCTTTGTTTTCTGACAGATACTCTAAATGTTGAACAAGTTGTTGAGAAAACATATAAAAACTCATAAATATATAAATTCACATGTTAAACATAAGATCACATTTGAAAAATTGTATAAAGTTTTGTTCAGCTATAAAATAATTTATTAGCTTAAGTATGTCATACAATCTAAATCAACACACCTGTAACATCCACATGTGTTTTTACATACACCTGATTCTTACTGAGTCCACCACATATGTAAATCAGTTCTATTTTGTGTCCACTTTTGACCATTTCATCAATAATATGTCTTGTTCCATACTGTATGTAACATACCACAAGTTAAAAAATACACATCAAATTTCTTCAAACTGTAAAATTTGAAGCTTGAGAAATGGAATAGAAATTGTCTATTGTCAAAGCAATTGTTTCACCTAGAAATCTTTTCTAGTATTACTGAATACTGTGTTGTTGGGTTTCTGTCTCTGTATCTAACTTTATTCATTTTAGAATGTATTGCAAGGAAAGTTATATATGGGATATAAATGAATTCAAGGTTGAAACTTTGTAACTTTTTCTATAAAGTATGCAATTTAGTAAATTCCTATTGAATACAAACTAAAGTTGTAAAATTAAAGTAAATATCCGACTTTATATAAATGAATCTTGTCTGGGGATTTCTGGTTGCTATGATATTTTCACACTTTTCATCACTGGAATATTGGATATTTATGTCCCATATTTTCAGGATGTTATATTTCTGTTTTTGGAGATCTGAAGTGCTTGAAATTGTTTTCAAAGTTCCAAGTTAATATTTCAAAGATAAATGATGGAAGGTAACAGAGTAAAGTAAATTGTTATAAAAATATGACTGGATGCTACATGAAACTTTAAGAGGTGAAAGCATTTGCATGCTACCAAAAAAATTAAAACATATTCAACTTTGTTGGTGAATATCTATAGTTATTACCTACAGCAAGTGCTTGTACAGTTGCAAGATATTTTACTGCCAAATCATCCATTTCTGATGACAAAGTCAATCCACTGACCTACAATACAAACTCTTTGTCATATAATATCATTCTTTAAAAAAAATAAAAAATGGAAATGGCAAAAATAACAACTCGCAAAAATATCGGTTTACATATCATATATTTGCTCAGTGTATAAATCAAGCACAAAATTCTCAATTGCCTCAACAGGTTATTTTGAACAATGACATATGTTGAAGTGGATTAGCCCTAATAAGTTCTGCAAATGCAGTTTTCTTGGCATACCCAAATAGTGAGTGAAGATCCAATTTTCATTGTCTAAATTAAACAAACTACTAAATTGGACGATAAAATGCATAAAGATACATTTTCATAGTAATGACATTTTATGGGATTGTAAACAATTAATTTGCATTTTTTGCATTTGGTATTAAAAAAAAAGGGTAAAAAAAAATACACCAACCATTCCTTTTAAAGCTGGATCTGACAGTGGAGATCTGTTACCATGGAAATCAGGCCAGATATGTAAATGTTTTGTCAGCTGTGACATGGCAAAGACTTTGTGTTCATTAATTAACTGTAATAATCTGTCTTCTAATACTTCATATACATGTAAGTTTCTGCAATGTATAAAAAAATTAAAGAACCTTAGTGAGCACGCTCACATACCCCACGTCCCCACATTGTCATTGGAGAAATTAAATAAGTGTAACAAAAAAAATTGTATAAGAAAAAATATTGAATAATAATTTCCTGTCAATATGCACATCTACATAGTATGTCCTTCTTATCTACAAAATTTCATGAAATTCTGTTGTGTGGTTTCAGAAGAGTGGAGATGACAAACTGTTGCAGAAGTACATTGAAGCAAATAAGTTCAAAGGGGCGTAACTCCTAGAAAAAAAAATGAATCGTAATTTCCTGTTGATATGCACATCTACGTAGTATGTTCTGTCTTGTCTAAAAAGGTTTCATGAAATTCTGTTGTGTGGTTTCAGAGGAGTTGAGATGACAAACTGTTGCAGTAGTACATTGAAGCAAATAAGTTCAAAGGGGTGTAACTCCTAGAAAAAAAATTGAATCGTAATTTCCTGTCGATATGCACAACTACATAATATGTCCTTTTTATCTAAAAAGGTTTCGTGAAATTCTGTTGTGTGGTTTGAGAGGAGTTGCGATGACAAACTGTTGCAGTAGTACATTGAAGCAAATAAGTTCAAAGGGGCATAACTCCTAGAAAAAAAATTGAATCGTAATTTCCTGTCGATATGCACAACTACATAATATGACCTTTTTATCTAAAAAGGTTTCGTGAAATTCTGTTGTGTGGTTTGAGAGGAGTTGCGATGACAAACTGTTGCAGTAGTACATTGAAGCAAATAAGTTCAAAGGGGCATAACTCCTAGAAAAAAAATTGAATCGTAATTTCCTGTCGATATGCACAACTACATAATATGTCCTTTTTATCTAAAAAGGTTTCGTGAAATTCTGTTGTGTGGTTTGAGAGGAGTTGCGATGACAAGAAACAGGACTGACGGACGGACAGACTGACGGACGGACAGACTGACGGACGGACGGACTGACGGACGGACAGACTGACAGACGGACTGACGGACGGACGGGTCATAAACATTATACCCTCCACAACTCGTTGTGTGGGGTATAATAAAATATAAAGAAGCATATATAGATTGTTGGGCTTTCTGCACATTGATATCCTAAAATATCAGCTGCTTCACATTGTGTCAAGCAGCTGGTATTTTACCATATCTATATACAGAAAACCTGATTATCTGTTTATTTTACCATTTCTAGCCCTTCCCTGAAACAGTTTTAAGCTTGGTTGTCCTGATGATAGTGAGGTTGACAAGTTTTTCTGTCAAATTGTGACCTTACTGATAACTTCTCCTCACAAATTAAGATGTCGCTAATCAATTCTGCTCACTTATGGAACAACTGACCAGGGTGATATAGAACAATTATAATATTTACTGTTCCCATTATGAGGACTTGATTGATGACAGATGCTGACATTACAAAATGATTGAAATAATACAGTTACTTGTTAGTTGTTGCTTGTAAACTTATTTTTTTCAAATGAGTCAGGTGTAAGTTGTTGGTGTGGTCTGTAATACTGTCCAATATTTCTTGCTATTCCTGTTATACTATTTTATTTATTAAATGATGCAACCATAAACTGTCCACATATCTAACAGATGTTTTACCTTTAAACTTGAATGATATACTGTAAATAAATATTTTTGTGGGTTGTTATTTTCACGATTTCAATACATAAAGTTTTGGCACAGGGGTTAAATTTGTGAAATGCAACTATTGGCATCAATATTGTTGATTTGTACAAATTATTTTTCAGGTGGGTGGGGAATATTTTCAGGTACTTTATGTGATCGCAAAAATAACACCCTACCCAAAAAAATTTCATGTTTACAGTAATAAAAATCTAAAAAAAAGCATTGAATTGGATTTTCAATAGCTGAAAAAATATATCTACTGGTATTCATTTACTATATGCCAGATTTTAATATTTTTTTTATGAAATTAACATGCTTTTGGCAATTTTCCTTCCTTTATTAAGAACTTGTGTCATAGTTGACTCTTCTCCTAAAATTACTAAGATCTTTAATCATCTCTCTAAAAAAATAAGAAGATGAGGTTTGATTGACAATGATACAACTCTCCACCTGAGACCAAATGATAAAATGGTTAACAACTATAGGACTGTATTGATTCAACAATGAGAAAAACCCATACCACAAAGCAAGCAATAAAAGCCCCGAAATGACAAATGTAAAACAAATCAAATGAAAAAAATAACAGCCTGATTTATGTACAAAACAATAAACAAAAACATTTACAGCTTGATAAGACTGATGGCCATTACATTTACTTTTATATGATATAAATATACTGAATGCCACAGAGCTCTTGGTGTTTTTTAACTGATGTATGTTGTTATGTTTTTGGACTGCTATCCTGTTAGTTTCTATTTCATTAGCATATTTATTCAAATTAAAGAATATATGGTAATGGCATGAGACAAAATCACACAAACACTTAAGAAATAACCCCTGGATTAAGTTTAAATTATAACTCTACAAGTTGTAACATTCCATCCGTAATCCTTACCTTTCTGATGCTGAGTCCTTTAACTTCTGATAAGCTGGATGTGTTTCTACTATGAAGTCTATCTAAATAAAAAATATTGAAAAATAGATGTATGTCCCTCGTTTCTAAGTCCTACAATACCTATTATAAAATCCTGTTATTTTCATGTACTCCATTTATATACATGTATCATATCATATGTGTGGTTTTTTCTCCAAAAAAGACAAATATATTCAAAACTCTGTGTCCATGGAAAAAAATCCATTTAAAGGATGAAAATACAGTAATGTTTACTGATAAAGTTGTCTATTTTAACTTAATATATCCCAATCTATGTGAATAAAGCAGTTTGCTGCTAGCAGACAGTTGTTAGTAATTAACTTACCAGTTGACCACTAGCTGATAGCTGTAAACAATGTATTAGAACTAACCAGACTGTCAGCAGCTAATTGTTATAACCATTGTTGGTAAATCTTCAAATTTACCACTAGCAGACAGTTGTAAACAAAGTATATTAACCCACCAGTTCACCACCAGAAGAAAGTTGTAGATGTCTTTTGGTTATTTGTGTCATCAGGCTGTTGTCTCATGGATATATACCCCCACATCTCCTTTTATTCAAAGTATGTGTACCAGCTATTATTGTTAACAAAGTATGTCAACAAACCAATTTGCCACAAGCTAACAGAATAACAATGCATAACAAAAACCATTTAGTGAAACGATGACATCTGTAGACAATAAATGCTAACAAGTTTGCCTTCAGTTGACAGTTGGTAGCAATAGACATCTAGAGATCATTATGCAGAATTCAACATTAAACAAGTCTCTATACTTTATATGAGACTTTGAATCATACAAAGTCTAAACAAATTGTTATGAAATTTAACAGAGAAAATCAAATCTTTTAAAGGGCATAAGAACCCGAGAGACACTTACTAAGAGTGTTATATTTACTAACCAGTTTGCCAGCAGCTGTTTGTCCACCTTCAGCACTCCACAAGCCTGGTAATATTGGTGAATAATATGGTCCCCACACTCCAGGTACAAATATAGCTTCTTTACTCATCTGTAAAATATAACAAAATCTCAAAATAGTAAATTCAAGGAATATTGTAACTCAATTCATTTTTTTTTACAACTGACTAATAAAATTTGACATACACCTACCATCTGATGGTGGTCCTGAACTAAAGCAATTATGTTAGGCATGTCAAACTTTCATAAATTACATTTTCACTGAATTTTATAAGAAATTATAAATTTATCATGAAAACTGATTCAATACAATTCAACATACAATCATATGGCATGTAGAAGTTCCACAGATCATGGTCATCCTAGAAGTTATGTCTGGCATGGCAAAGTGTTCATTTTCTGCTACACAGCCGACACAACCTGTCAAAATGGCAAAAAGGCAAAAGTATATACACTTTGAAACATTTCATTATCCTTTTATATATATAAATAAATTTTGATATACATTTTTATCAAGACTGCAATCAATATTAGGTGTTCTCTTTCTTGAGGTGGGTAAAAAAATTACATCTGATATTCAAAATATCCTTTAATGCATCTAGAAAATGCAGTTGTTTAAACGAAATGCCATGACTTATATTGCAAACATTATTATAAGTTTTGGATATGGCTATGTAAGTACAATGTATTAATCTTGTCTTACCTACATTGATGTTGATACTGAAACTTTTATAATGTAATTTATACAGAAATAATAATAATTGCACCATGATAATGAGCTTATTGGTTGTAATAATTACTCAAGAACAACAAATCTGAAAATATCCAAAAACAAGAATATTTGTTCAAAAAACATCATGCTCTGCTCACACTAACACATGCTCAGGTGCAGTGAGTGATATGTGGTTCAAAACTTAATTTTGGATAATGAACATGTGTACCAAGTTTCATATTGATGTGACCACAACTTCATGGTAAAATACTTTCAACCCAAGCTTTTAACTGTTATCGGATAAAAAGGACAAACAGACAAACACACAGACCCGAAAAACACAATGCCTCCCTTCTATCATAAGTGGTGCTTAAAAATTTAAAGGAGTTAGCTTTTACTTTTTGTAAGATTGTTTTAAATTTTAAGGGATTAGTTTCAAGAAATTGGACCTTGTACAATACATACTAGTACCAGAAATTGTCTATATTTTGACAAACAAAGTCCCATAATTCTAAAACAACAAGTTCTTACAATTAGCTGTTCGAAAATAAAATATTGCGTTTTAAATTAGGAAAGATCCAATAGAGCAGCTAAAGTTATCATGAAACATACTACAAACAGTCATATTTTTAATGATTAAAAACAGCTTATCATCATGAAAACAAACATTGGGTAATAATTTTGTAAAGGATTGTTTAAGCAAACTTGAGTTAATATGATGCTTGGAAAATTGGAAATGAATATACATGTATAAACCATGCTTCCTTCACTGCTGAACTATTAACCTAATGCATCAGCATATGCATCAAGGATACACTCCCACTTGTGTACCAAGAACCAATCCAAGGTGATAAGCAGTCTCATTAACCAATCCTGACCCATGAACTTCACCTGGTAATTTGACAATAATCCTTAAACAGTGCACATGCATTCTAATAATTATTGATTGAAAAAGAAAGAGTACCTAAGACACCAGCATGTGCATCAATGATTGATGTTCCAACTGCAGTGCCAGGAACCAGTCCAAGCTGTTCTGCTGCCTCATTGGTCAATCCTTCTCCACAAACATCACCAGGTGATTTGACATCAGTTCCTTTTAATAAAGCATGTAAAATATTAAAAGAAATTAAATCAGATTCTGACATTATTCAATTATTCTATTATCTGAAAAGATCTTACTTAAGCCATATATCAAACTTTAGATTTAAGCACGCCATATTAATTGAATAATTGATATTTAAAAATATTCCATATCATCTAAAGTAGCAAGTTTCAGAGAAAAAAAAATATTCCAACTTGAATTAATTTCTCTAATAATCTCAAATACTATTATCAGCTGCTGTAAACAGCTTCGTATTAACATGTAAACGGCTTCATATTAACATATATGTATGCTTTATATGTTATTCATAATTATTTATAGGTAGGGATGCAGTTTTTTTTGACAATCTGTAAAATATTTTACAGTACAAAACAGTGCACTCTAGTATAGTAGAACTAGCTTATATCATTTACAAAAGGATGTGTTTTTTTTCTAGTCCCAGTATGAAGAAATTTATTGTAAATGTTAAAAAATTTCAGTTTATATCTATTAAACTTAAAATAACATACACATGATAAAAATTAAACAACATAACTTACCACACCTTTGATATTTTTCCTTTACAAAATCATCAATTCCTATAACTTCCCAGAACTCATCATTCCAGCCCCTGTGACCTTGGTCATCAGCTTGGTATGTCCATTTACATGTCAGAGAACATAATGACCTGTCAAAATATTGCACATCAATGTTTTTTTTTACCATTTTTTCAGCATATATTTTAAATTATTACATTGGTCGCAATGACTTATCGTGCTTTCCTGGTGAAATAAGTACCGATAATTTCACTCCTCTGACGTCATACAACAATGGGTGTTTCAAAGACGCTGTAGATGATGTTGCATTTGCTATTACAGAGTTTTACTACTTGTGAACTATGATAAAGTGCCTGCCCAACATGATAGGCTTTTGCAGACTTTAAGTACTGTAAACTGAGATGTTCTATTGAACTTAAAGCAAAATGTTTTCCAGGTCTTTTACTTCCTAAGGTTTAAAGCTTTATACAAATATTTTAAGCTATACACTACTGGATTAGCATCCTGTTGTTACAATAGCATTTAGAAAAATGACCAGTGTAAAGAAATTGCATTTACAAAAATCTTACAGTGTTTTACAGAATATAAACTTAAGATTCAAATTCTTACCTGGTTAGATTTCCTGTAGCTTTCCAAGTTAAATAATCTGCTAAATCAAAAAAGTGTGTAGCACTTTTCCAGGTATCAGGTAAATTCTGTTATACAAAATAATATATATATATAATTTTAATGACTTAAATCCTTCTCTGATTCTATGATATTAAATGCTACCTACTACATGTAGTTAGTATTGCTTTATTGAATCTGGTATCTTTTTATCGCTTAAGTAAAATCAAGTGCACAAACTGAAGTTTCAATTTTTAAAGTATAGTGGACCTACTCTTCTGCCTCTGACATTTGTCTATTCTATAAAATAAATGATGATTTGCAATGGTCAGAAGTAGTCTTTCAAAAAAGTTGATCTGTAGAAGGAAAGTCTATTATTTCCAGTTCTTTGAAGAATTTTTCCTGAATTTTGATTAAATGCAAACAACAAATAATGAATAATGTTGTTTACATCCTTCTTACTGGTAACAACAATTTGTGATATCATTAATATTATCCATCACAAAACAATGAATTAAACACCTCCAAAACAACCTTGGTTAGCTCAAAAATTCAAAATTCAGTACATTAATTTGCCATCTTCTTTTATGGGTCAAATAAATTACTCCTCTGATTACTTACCTCTTTCATCCACATCAATTTTGGTGGTTCCATTTCTACACTGATCTGACCTCCAGTATTCTTCAACACAGAATGGTGTGTGGAATTAATCCTCTCTGTTTGATTCACAGCTCTATGGTCCATCCACATTATTATGTTACATTCAGGTTGCCCTTTCAAATAAAAATTTCATTTTATATAATAACATTATTCATTTCTATCGAAAAATAGTATAATTTGATTGGTGAAGATGCTGTCACATGATTTTAAAAGGGTGTTTTATATCTCATTAAAAGACATTTACACATGCTTCCTTGATGATATAAATATTTAACAATCCATTACATAGTAATGGTAGTTGACAAACTTACTGGTTTCTACACTATATATAAAATGTGCTTCCATCTTCACTTTTTCATACTGATAAAACTGAAATGTACATGATAATGCATTAAATTCCATCAGAGTGGGAACTGTTTTTCTTTCATGATGCCTGAGTTCACTCAATGTTTGGGTACATGTTGCTCAATCATTAGTTTTTCGGTGTAGTGTTTTGGTGAACGTTGTTCATCATTTGTCTTTTTTTCTGTGGCAATGGCATTATCTGTTTTTCTTAAGTTATGTTTTTATTGCCCCTTGGTAACTTCTCCCTCCCTATTATAAATGATAACATTTTCTGATTAGTAATTAATAAAGGTATACATGTACTTAAATTTTCATTAACCTGTGTATAAATAGCTTCTGCTTAATATCAAAGTTAAAATTGAAATGCCATTGTTTCATACTTTGGCAGATTGGATTTATTGTTGAGACAAGAGGCTGTCAGAGTGACAGCAAACCGGATTTTCCTTCAGAGGTCGAACCCTGAACAGTTGAGGAAGTATGGACACAACATTTAAGCTTAAAACAGTTCTGAATTTGGATGGCGATTGAATATTTGACACAGCATAGGTTTGTGACACAAAATGAATGTGGTCAAAGAATTGAAAAATTTGAAATCGGACATTTACCTATAATGGTCTAATATCCAAATCTAATAACATTGTTAGAATCAGCATATCAAAGAACCCCAATAATTCAATTTTTGATGAAATCAAACAAAAGTTTAATTTAGGACCCTTTGGACCTCAATGGGGTATTATTTAATTAATAATGAAAATAAATACAGGTTTAGATTCAGCATTTCAAAGACCCCTATATATATTCAATTTATGTTGAAATAAAACATAGTATAATTTGGGACCCCGATTTGGACCAACTTGAAGACTGGGCCCAAAATCAGAAATCTAAATATATGTTTATAAATAGACAAACTAAGCATAGTTTTTAAAGGAGTTTGCTTCATAAAAAAAAAAATATATATAGCATTCAGAAAATAAGTTAATACAGAATAACAAACAAACCAACCACAAAATTCTTCAAACAATTTACAAAAGAAAAGAAAAAAAAAATCCAAAATGTCATTTATCATTGATACAATATCTATTAAAAATCTGTAAAACTTATCTGTAATTATCTTCAAAATGTCTAATAATGAACAGTAAATTTCACAAACTTTATTTATACTGTCCTACAGATCTTATCATCAACACTAAAGAAACAGAAAATTTTCAAATAAATCTGTCACTCCAATTAGAATTGTGTGATAAGATATTTACCAGATGCTTTGTTATCTATTAACAGGTGAAAATTATTTAAAAACACTTAGTGTAATCAAACTTTATATATATAATTAATAGTTCCCAATATTTTTTCTTTCATTTGTCACAAACTAATATAGATCTGCAACTTATCTATCAATGTCAACAATTTTATCTACACAATGTAATGTAATGAAATATATCCTTTAATAAAAATAGATAAGATATGTATTATCTAATGAAAATGATATTTGCAAATAACAATTTCTGTTCAAAGGGAAATAACTCAAATTCATAAAACAAAAATAAATTTTGCTATTGAAAGGTAAAAAAATCCAACAATGAGAACAGCTAAAATCGTGAAAATTGAACTTGACCTTCATTTAGTCACAAGAAAACAACATATCAAGGTTTGAGAAGATTTTGTCAAAGCGTTTTCATGTTAATGAACTGACACTGTTTAGCAGCAGCCCGCCCGTCTTACATCCTCAAATCAATAATCGATTTATCCTTCGAAAATCCGGTTAAAAACAGTATTCTAATCTCTACTGCAGACCAGAAGTTAGTTTATATCAATAAAAAATAGGAGAAATGATACAGGAAACCTTCAAAATGACATGTACTACTTGTAAAATAATTATAATTGACCCTCTTAAATTTAAGGTGGAAGGACACGTGAAATATCAGCTGTAACATAATTATCTATTACATATACCACTTTGTACATTACCTGAAGGACTAACTGTTATAGAACTATCATTTTTCCCAATCACTACTAATGAACACGTAGCATCAAAACCTATTCCTCCTATTTCTTCTTTTTTCACCTCAGAATCTGATAAGATTTTCTGTAATGAACATAAGCATGCTAAAATATTGAGAAATTAACACAAAACCTTTCACAAACAGTAATACACATTTGTAAATTTAATTTGTCTAAAATTATTGAGATCACTCCCTTCAGTTCTTAGGTGTTGTTTTTTTTTTTTTTACTTTTGTTTTACACCATGTACTTCAAATCTAGTCAACAGTTTGCAGTAATAGTTCTGCAATTTCAACAATATTTGATGATAAAAATGCATATGGTAGCCTATGCAACTACCACCATTTGTGACCATAATTATGTCTCCATATGAGATGGGAGACAACTCCAGCTGGAATAAGAAGAATCATGCAGCAATATTGAACTTTGGATTCCAGTTTTGATTGTAAAAATGGTTCAGAAAACTAATTTGTTGTACTTTCAAATCATTCAGTTTGATGGGTTCCAATTTCCATGGTCCATCTGTACATGTCCAGTCAATGTTTGCCTCATCAAGGATAAATTTGCTGATTTACAAAAAACCCTGAGAATTTTTATATCTATAAAATGTGAAGAAATTAGAAGAACTTAAGTAATACTGACTCCACAACATATGATTATTCAAACCAGGGGAAAACTTTTTAAGGTTATTAGATGTTAAAAAAAAGTACCAATTTGAGAATAGTTTGGTAGCATTTGATCTATTCCATCCTTTTCAGTGATTTTTTGTCAAATTTTCTTATTTAGTGATGTTGGCATGTTTGATGACCACTTAAAAGGCATCCAACAGATATCAATAATTTGGTAGAATTTGCAATTAACAGTATTTGAGGTGGTCATGCTTGACCACGATTATAGTAATCAGCCATAATTCTTCCGACTGTGCATTTAGGCCTATCAATTGGTATATGATCTTTATAGAATTTCTTATTTAATTAATCTAAATATTGATTTAATTTCTGTTCTTTTTTAAGGTAAAAGAAACCATGTTGGTTGAAAACAAGGAATTATTTGAATCTGGAATAATTTTGAATTCTGGAAAATTGATTAGAAATGTATGATGAAAACTAACCCAACTAAATAGGGTTAGCCATGCGTGCATGGCTAAGGTTAATTTTACTTTCACTATCATTTCAGTATGAACTAACTAACCCACCTTAGCCATGCACGCATGGCTAACCCTATTTAGTTGGATTAGTTTTCATCATATATTTCTCATCAATTTTCCAGAATTCAAAATTATTCCAGATTCAAATAATTCCTTGTTTGAAGTGAATTTTAAAGAAATAGGGAAAATTACTTAATCAATGACTAAACATTTCATGAGAGTCAGCCAAAGCAAATTTATTTATCTGATTCAGTGGCAGATCCAGCGGGGGGTTTCGGGGGTTGGAATAATGCTTTTGAATAAGGACATATGGTTGGAACTTGGAACCCCCCCTGCTTTTAAAAATGGCTGGATCTGCCCCTGTCTGATTAAATGTGTAAAATTTGTGCATATAACTCTGAAGTGCAACTGTGTAAATCATCATAATTCAAAGGACATTTTCACTTGTTGTAGAAAAACTAGAGTATAGAATTTATACACTACACATCTTAAGATAAATATACCTAAAGACAACATCTACAAACAAATCACAAAATAAAAAAAATCTATCTATCAACCCAAAATTTTTCCAGCATTGTATCTCCATCATTTCTGTCTGGCTAAACGATTTAATCTGGTACATGTACCTTTATTGTATGAATGACAGCATTCCAGATATTGAATGATGATTGTTCATAATAGTCAGCTGAAGGAGTCCATATCTTAATCTTCTCTGTTGCTACAGTAACCAAATTACCATGACTATCAAATAATGCTGATCTAACACTCCCTGTTCCAACATCTACACCAATGTAATATTTCATGTTACCTTAGAAACTGAAATTAATCAAGGTGCTTGTGATGACAAAGGGTAAAGATTGCAACTTAAAATTAAACATGGCATTGTATTAAGCATTGAAAGGCAATATTATGAATTAGAGGCATCTTCCAACAACAACTGCATTGTAGGTCTATGTGCATCTTTAACAATGGAAACTCTCCAACGTTGTAGATCAGCATATAATTCATGACTAAATCTTTTTTTTTATGATCTCTTATTGCTTATCATTTATTTGTTTACAGATTCTAATTTGTCATTTAGGGCCTTTAAAAACTTGCTGTGTGGTATGGGTTTTGCTCATTGTTGAAGGCCATAGTAATACAGTGACCTATAGTTGCTATCCTTTACGTCATTTGGTCTGACTCTCTGATGGGGAGTTGTCTCACTGGCAATCATACCACATGATGATGTGACATCTTCTTATATTTATATGTTGGGTAAAATCTTTCAGATGCACTCCTCAGGTAACAATTGTTTTGTATTGTATTGATTGATATAACTCGAACAATTCATACCTCTCCGTGTCCTATTTTCTAACATGCGAGCCATTGTAGATAGGCAGAATATAACTACTGAATTATTCAGGTTATGATTGGTATGAAAAAATAGACAAAACAATAAATGATTTAAAAAGTGTTACTGAGTGGAAAATATATCAGTTTTAACATAAAAGTGTCCAAAATTTGTTTCGCATCGATACCTCCGACTCTGAGTTATATAATCAGTATTTGAAAAATATGCACCCCTTTTGAGTCCTGGATCCAACCCTGCTAGTGGATGGTAGACCTTTACACTTTTCCAACTGCACAGATTTGTCATTACCCTGAATATTTTTTTGAGATTTTAACACAGCCATTATGATGAACCTCTCAGTAAAACAGTATACAGCTATGATTTGTTACTGGAACAGGTCAGGAATAACCATTTGACATATAGTGAGATAGACCATATGGGGGATAATGCAATTTTTATCATAAATTTTTTTTAAGGAGATATTCGAGCATCTTTTTGCATGTAACCATCTTAAGCTTTGATGAGTACTCATTAGTGACATGCAATTGCTTCTGACTTGCTGTGCTGCGTTTTGAAAAATGTATATTATACCTCAATTGAGGTATGATCTACACATGTACCAATTGATGGATATTCACAATTGGTTTCCTTAAGTCTGCACGAGTTTCAACTTTAAGATTTGTTAGTCGAAATGGTCAGGAAGAGACTACAGAACAAAATTAAGATTTAACAGATGAAAACTCAAATTTATAAGTAGGAAAAAGGAGGGTCATATTATTTTTTAGGGTTCTTTAACAAATTGCAGCATGAAGTGTCAGAATCAAATACATGTCATCAGTGACATCACTAAGTGGTCATAAAAGCTCGTTATGGTAAATGCAAAAAGATGCTCCAATAAATATTAAAAAAATGTTTGAATAAAAACTGCATTATACCTCAATTGGTGTATCCGATTATATGTCAAATGGTGGATTATACCTGAATTGAGTATAATCCACCAATTATTGAATTAATGTTTATTCATGAGCTGTGGAATAAAATAGATGGGAGTGTAAAACGTCCCGGACTAAGTGACAACAATTAAATGATATATTACTAAATAAAAACAATATGTAAGATTGATATTATGACTTTGCATTGTATGCATCTGATAGTATAGGCAGTAAAATGATACATTGCAAGATGCTGTTGACCGAAAATTACTTTTGGTGATGGGGCTCGAAGTGAGAAGGGGAGAGCAACTATCTAAACTTTACCCGTGTTTTATTTTCCTGTTATCAACGGGACACCTTTTTTGCGTACATACTACTCTTGATAAATCATCGCGATTTTTTAGATTTTGAATGCCTAATTCATACCTTTAATGAACTTAAATTTTATCTGCCACTGTGTTATAGTGTGAGCCATAAAGGTGTCCTGTGAAAAAGTGTCCACCCGGACACTTTTTCACAGAAAAGGTATATTTAAATGTGTCCGATGCTGTGAAAAAGTGTCTAATTAATCGGACATAATTTCATGATAAAATCCTTTAAAATTCTGTCCAATAAAAAGTGTCCTTTAAAGGGAGATAATCAATAAGTCACTGAAATGTTTTAGCTATAATTAATTTTCTATTACTAAAACAAACCACATATTAAAGATCCAGTTATAATTCGATATAAACAAAAATGGAACAAGAAAGGCCAAATGTAGGAAGAACAGTTTTTATGAGTACTATAATAATTCTTGAATATTACACGATTTGGTAAATTGAAATGAATTACATGTATTATTATTAGCATAGTTCATATTAAGTTCTATTACTATGTTTTGTAGGTATTGAGAGTGGACACTTTTTCACGTGAAATACTGTCCTTTCTACATGTTCTATGAAGGACACTTGTTCATATGAAATATTGTCCTGTCTTTGAAGGACACTTTTCACATGTGTGGACACGATTTTATAGGTAAATATCGTTCGGACGATATTTCATAATAACATTATGTCCGTGGACACAAATTACTATGAAAAAGTGACGGACATAATTTCATGGTGGACAATATTTAATCCTACAATAGCTGAGACTACTATTACTGTTTTAGTAGTCTCAGGTTATAGTAGTCTCAGCTTAAGGAAGTTCACTACTCAGTTTAAAAATAACAAGCTTTTCATAACACTAGTATATATTGATAGGGGATTAGTAAAGGACGACATTAACTTTTTGAATCAAATGATATAATATTACATATTTATTCATTTTCTGTCAAAGTCTGAATCTACTGTGAATTCTACTCAATTTCCTTTTGTTCAAAGCAATTTATTATATAAAAAATCTTGTTAACAATGAAAGTGGTGGTGTCTGATAGTCTGAAGCCAAGGAGACAGCATTAAGGATTTAACTAGGTAAAACGTTTATTGTACTATTTTTGCCAAACGACATGTGATATGAAAATAAAATAATTTTGAATTTTGTCTCCTGTAAATGACTGGTCAAACTTGTCACATGTAAAACAACACCTGGAAGATGATTCTTCTTACCATTATTGTGTTAAATTTGGACAAGACGTTTTGGATGTTGCAAATTCAATATCCAAGTCAATAGCTTCTCAAGTTCTCCACTGTCATCCTTTCATCATGAGATTCTAACAAAAAACCGACATATACTTTCAAAAATAGTTGATGTAATAATCCTTTGTGAAAATACCATACTTCGTGGCCATATTGAAGGAAAAAAGGGCTAGGATGAAATTTGAAAAAAAGGCAGGGCAGGAGTTTTGAGTAAAAAAAAAAGGCAGGATGACAATTTATTATAAAAGGAGTCAGGATAAACTAATAAAAAAAAGGCAGGACCGAATAGAATGAAAAATAAAAATGCAGGACAGAGATTACAACTAAAAAAATGCAGGACAGAGATTACAACTTAAAAAATGCAGGACAACATTTTTCATTAAGTTTTCTTTTTTATATTTCTATGGAAGCTGTGATACGATATGTGGTTTGCACTTTCACCTCACATCTCCTGTATCTCTTTCTCGTTAACGCGTGAGCTTCCGTGGGGGTCCGGGGGTCCCCCACAGGAGCCCTTTCAGAGCTACACCCTGGATCCAGACCACTCGCCGAGGTTCGGGCGTACACTTAAAAAAGGCCTTGCTACGCCACTGAAGTTGAACGTCAACCGGTCCAAGAAGAACAAATGTAATTCACTTTTTTACCAGAACCTGAAACATGAATTAAAATATAATTTTCTTTTCTGTATTGAAAACTTAATAAAGGCATTACCCAAGATTGAGTTTTCTGTATTGTTCATGACCTGAGATTTCAGTAGATCAAAGAAACAATTTATCCAATGACGATAAGACGTTTATTGGAATATAATTGGAATAGACAAGAGAAAGGCATTACATTTCAAACAATTGGCGGTTTGTTGAGGCGCAATGTCCTTGTGGATTTTATCAAAAATGCAAAAAAATGTATGTAACTCTTTATGTTTTAGAAACTCAATGCATTTTTCTGTAATAAAACTTACATAAAAGGGTCATTACACTCGGCCATTTTTTGGAATAGTTATGTTTGTTTTAGAGATAAACTTATACCAGCATTGAGTATACTGACAAGTGATTGGTATTCAAATGGGAACTATATAACTGTGCCCTCTTATTGCAGATTCCGTTCATTACTGTTATATGTCCGAATTAATGGAAATGCTTCATAAAGATATATATTTAACACCAGCTGATTGATATGTTAATCTATATATACTAGCAGATATTTAGATGTAATAATTTCTGTAAACCATTCAGATTATATGGAATTTATAATGATCATTATCCACCTTATCTCATTCTTACTAAATCTAACATTATAGTGACCGATGTCCTTTTGTGGAGCCCGATAATAGAAATGCACATGGTATAATATCTATACAGAAATTTATAACAAACTTGACGACTTTTCCTTTCCTAGTAAATTGTCCTTCCTTTGATGGTGTTGTGTATAGTTGACTCCTTCTTATTTGTTGTATACTTCTCTCATGGGGTATATATTTATCGGTTGGTTCGTTATGGCAGCGTGTTTGCAGTGATGTCTCGGATTTTAATAAACGTAATATGTGCATTACAAAAAAAAAAAAACACTTTTACAGCAGTGTTAATGATATCATAAATTGGTCAAAACTTTTATTCATTTATATCAAAAATATAAAAATGTATTGTGAAAGTATCATTTTACTTGCAGGAATTCAATAAAAAGTGGTATTTCGCATGTCCAGCTCTTTTACGGTTATATTGTTGATAAATCTAACAAATTTAGGACTTTAAATCTGTTTCCTTGGCATGATATAGTCTCGATAAAGGTTATTATTATACTGTTGTTGATGAATCACTGTTTAGTGGATGCATATCAATTCGCGAATTTATTGTCTTTTAAAAGCAATACTAACATATCTTTTTTAATTTTCTGTTTGTTTAATTTGGTTGTCATTGTGCAAGATCATGTCTTTCTGTATTGTGTTTATTACGTTGCTGTATGAAATCTTCTAAAAAGTTTATCCACCGATATAAACTGACGCCTAGCTTCATCATGCGGAATTCTTATCAGCATGTTACTAAGTACTTTGAGCTTGTTTTCGGTAACCGTGAGCATTCTTTAACATCATAATTTTGTTTATTTATTTGTGTTTTTAAATTGTTACATTTCATGCCATTTTTTCATAGTTAAGTGTTTTTCATGCGCTAGTTGTTATTGTATGTACGTTTTCTTTTCTATCAATCCGGCGAAACTTAAAAAGGGGGATCATCGATATCCCAAAAACAAGTTTAACCATGCCACATTTGAGGGGCCTGATGTGGGGGGGGGGGGGGTCTCATCACGATTCACGAGTTGATTTTTTTGTCAATCACGATTCACAGAAAAAAAATTTCCATGATCACGGATCACGAAAATATATGAATAAAATAAATCTGTAGAAAAACGGATCACGATAGCGAAAATGCGCCGATCACGAAGAACGAAAATAACCCATCAGGCCTCTCACATTTGCATATGCCTGTCCTAGCTCAGGAGCTTAGTCAGTAGTTGTCCTATGTACTATCTTAATATTTTTCGTTATTTGGATATTTGGGCTTCAATTGTAGATCTTTGATTGTTTTTATTTAATGTATTCACAACTTTTACAGATAGGACGATTTAGAGCTTATATATAGCATATTGTATGGGAACCTGTCTTTTACTGAAGACTGGATGTTGGCCTCTAGATGTTTTTTTTTTGTTGTTGTTCATGACGTTGCTGTCTCATTGACATACATCCCACATATTATTTTGATCATATTGAAAATGTCTGCTGAATACTAGGGTCTAAGCGAGATTCTCGGAAATTTTTTAAATCCTTTGAAATTTCTGTCGATTTTTATTAGGATTTTCTCATTTTATTGCTGAAAATATGCCATATGAAAACATATAGGTCTCTTTGGAAATGGTCATTGGGTGCACAAGTGTCTCCATTTTTTGACAGATACAAGTAACAAACATGATACATTCATTTAATTCACACTGATGAAATCTAGCATGTCATGAAACATTTACATACTCTTTCTGGAATTCTCCCAATACAAGAAGTTATTGTTCCGCCTATTTAATGTTGAAACTACTCAAGCCTGTTTATATCTCTGATTTAATTCATTATTAACCAATGTAATATACAATGAAAAGGAACATTTTGTTAAATGTACACAACTTTTTTATTTTTTCAGTTAAGAAAACACTCCGTAGGTCGATTTAATGACAATAGAAAACAAAGTTAGTGTAATAACTTACATTACAGAAATGTGATTATTTGTATGTAAATAAATAGCCACGAAGAAAAAACTTTAAATAGCAGGATTGACGCACTGTCTTTTGAAATCTATTAAAGGTACAAATCATTTATGTTGATTTTTTTCATCAGGACACTCTAAATAGATTTGTCTACATGTAACTTGATAAAAGAGGACATTAAATTGAATTTATTCAACTAACATCCTTTATTCTTTGGCCCATATTTGAATTTAAAATCTCAACACTTTAGCCGAAGCAAATGTCGATCGAAAGGTTTCTATCCGAAAATTTTCAATACTGTTTGAGTAGTCCTGTTAAAGATGTATTCTCTTAGGATGTAACTATATAGTTAGATAAAAGTGAATGAAACAATGAAATTGGCGAATTACTCATAGCATCTATTACATTCGATAGATACATTATGTTG